GGGGGGGGGGGGGGGGGCAGGCAGCGGGCAGCTTGTCAGATACACCAGGAAGCGACTTTCCGCGTCCCGGGTCCTGAGGTGTCGGATTCAACGAGAAGGGTACGGATTGGAAGTTTCCTGTCGTCGTGGCGAGGGGTTCAATGAATCTTGGACGGGGCATGACTGCCCTGATTGGCTCACGACATTGCCGCGACGTGCTTGCGTAACACGGGTCGTCGCTACTATTCATTTTGCCATGCCGGTGATGTGTCATGTCGTGCGTCAAGTGCTGTCCTCTGCGGTGATATAAGGCAGGGAGTGGTGAGCGGGATTTCCAAAGCCATGAGAACCTTGCCCGTCCAATGGCGGCGATGGAGCACATGAACATGTAGTGCGGCGGCACTCATGTTCGAGGAGAAGCCGGCCAAGCCTTGAGGGCCTTCAACGACACTGTCAAGGTCGGCTTGGACCTTCATCCCACAGTCTGCTCTCCAGGTCGCAGTCTGAAGGCGCCTGGGCGTCAAACTTCCCCTTTCCGCGGCGCCCACGCGGCATGGCTCGACCAGGCCGTCTCGGCGACTCCCGATTCCATGCCGATTCCGGTCCACCTCCCGCTGGCAAAAAGTATGTGGTTAGGGTTAGGGTTAAGGCGAGGGTAAGGGTCGACTCTGGATATATAACCTAGTTAGGAAAGAGCAATGGTGCATTCTCGGAATCGGGCATCGGGTATCGCCCCCGTCCTCTTCAACTTTGCCTGGGCGCAGGCGCCCGTGAGCGGCTGGGCCACGCCGACCGTCGCCGTCCCGCTCGTCCTGGGCCTGCTGCTCCTCGCCGTCTTCGCCGTCGTCGAGCTCCGCCTCAGCCGCGACCCGCTGCTGCCGCTGGCCGCCCTCGGCTCCGCCCTGACCGCCTCGGCGGCCACGGGGAGTCGCCCGACGAGCGGCTTCGCGGCTTCAGGGGAGCCCTGTGGACGGGCGTCGTCCTGGCTGCCCTGGGGCTGGCCATCGGCCTCTGCTTTCTGGCGAGGCACCAAGCCTCCGGCACACCGAGGGCTTTTTGACGCGCCGACGCCCCTCTGTCGAGCCACGAATGACGGCTAGTTTCCATGGACATATTGCCTCTGTAGCATCGCAGCATGTGGTGATATGATCAGGAGTGAAGAGTGTGATCAAGAGTGAAGGGAACAGGGAACAGTGAACAGTGAACAGTGAACAGTGTCTCAGTATTTTCAGTTTCTGCCTTCTTTTCGCATCTATCCAGCGCCGCCGACCGAACCCCCCTCCTCAGCCCCCCCTCACCCAAACACGACCGTCTTGGAGCCGTTCAAAAACACCCTCCGGTCGGCGTACCACCGCACGGCCGCAGCCAGGACCTGGCTCTCGACGTTGGACCCCTCCTCCACCAGCTCCTTGGGGTCCATGCTGTGGTCGACGCGCGCTACGCGCTGCTCAATGATGGGCCCCTCGTCCAGGTCCGCCGTGACAAAGTGCGCCGTGGCGCCGATAATCTTGACGCCCCGCTCGTAGGCCTGGTGGTACGGCCTGGCGCCCTTGAAGGACGGCAGGAAGCTGTGGTGGATGTTGATGATGCGGCCCGACATGGCCTCGCAGAGCGCCGGCGACAGCACCTGCATGTAGCGCGCGAGCACGACGAGCTCGATGCCGTGCCGGGCCACGAGCTCGAGCACCTGCGCCTCCTGCTGGGCCTTGGTGTCCCCCGTCACGGGGAGGTGGTGGAACTCGATGCCGTACGAGCGGGCGAGCGGCTCGTGGTCGGTGTGGTTGGACACGATGACGGGCACCTCGACCCGGAGCTGGCCCGTCTTGGTGCGGAACAGGAGGTCGTTGAGGCAGTGGCCAATCTTGGACACCATGATGAGCACCCTCACCTTCTGGGCCACGGGGCGGATGTCGTACGTCATGTCGTACTCGGCGGCCAGGGCGGCAAACGGCCGGGCGAGGTGCTCCGTCGCGGGCGAGACCGAGTCGGCGTCGGAGCCGGAGCCGGAGCTGGCCTTGGGGCCAAAGTGCACGCGCATAAAGAAGCGCCGCGACACGGGGTCGCTGAACTGCTGCAGGTCGAGGACATTGTGGCCGTGCGACGCGAAGACGGCCGTCACCGCGTGGATGATGCCCGGCTTGTCGGGACACGAGAGCGTGAGGATGTAGTCGTTGTCGTTGGGCATGGTGGGATGTGTTTTGCTTGATTGACGCTTTTGAGCAAACTGTCGTCGGGGGAGTGAATTGCTGTGGGGCGCAGCAATTTTTTGCTAGGTGCGCAGGATCCCCACCACGCTCTGATTTTAGGCTAGTAGTCCTGCTGCTATACCTAATAGATATTTTTAGTATTAGTATATAGTAGTAAATTACTTGTAATTAAATATAAAGATAGTAATATTATTATATAAATTCCTCAATAGTACTACTTTAAGTAAGCTTTATAGTAGAGGCTTAATAATAATAAAACACTAAAATATATAGTAACAAAGCATAAAGTTTATAATATTATTAGTAATATAACTATTAATAATTTACTAGGGAAAAACCTTAGATAACTATAAATTATTATAAAATAAAAACCTAAATAACAGAATCGTTATAGACATAGTTTACTGTAGAATTACTACATAGGTATTTTTCTAGTATAAAGTTATTAATTGCCTTTAGTATATAATTTAGCTTTTAGTCTAACTAGATAGCTAAATTTATTTAGCTTATACTTAAAGACTTAAGTTATATCTAGACCTTTAAATACAGCTAGATTTTCTTAAATAGACTAAATATATCTCTCTCTTAATTTATGCCGCGGCCTGCCATGAACAGACACCTCCACGTCGACGCACTTTGAGCGCCTTGCGTTTACGCACCGCGAGACAGCCGTTACCAGAGACAGCCGTTACCAAGAGGTCGAATTCAACTATCACACTACCCAACATTAACAAGACAGGTACCGCACTGCCGCTGCTTCGCGCCACAACCCAAGTATAGATGGTGATGACGAGGCCAAAAACGCCGATTGCCACCAGGTATCCAAGCATAAACGCCAACAAGAAATAAGCCGAATGAGCCAAGCCCAGACCGAATTTCGATTCAATCCCCAATTCCAACTCGTCATCTACTCGTAACCACGGCGGGAAACACGTCATGAGAGCTCGCTTTCATCCTTTGCGCTCCCGCTCTCCCACAGATCGAAACTCTCTCCGGTACCCTCAATGGGCCGCAGCACGGCCGCTTTCAAGGGAGACTCGGACTTGGCCATGAGCTCGTCGATTTCCTTGCTGGCAGGACCGCGCTTCAACGTGCCGGGTATGGAAGCGCAATCTTCCATAGCGGGTGCTTTTTCCGGGCTCTTCTCCTGGTCTTCATCATCTGCAGGCACAAAAATCACAGATGACTCGTCGCAGCCGTCGGCATAAAAGTCGGCAGTCTTCATCTCGCCAAGTGCGACTCTCTCCTTGTCCACCGCCATGTCATCAGCAGCAAGAGTGCGAGCGCGAGCGCGTCGGACAGATGTCTGAGATACATCATCGACAGGAGGGATGTTCTCCTTGTCACGGCCTTCGGCATTTTCTCGGCTTGCCCTTTTCTTACTCTCCTCGTCTGATGAAATGTCCAAGACACATGTGCTGTGCTGGAGAAGGTTGGTCATTTCCTGCTCCGGGGTGTCCTCGTGGATATCAAAGAACCAGCCGGCCTTGGCATCGAGCTCACCGAGAGACGAAGTGCTGGTGCTGCCTCGCGAGAGGGCATTGGAGCGAGGACGGGGAGCATAGCTGGCAATAGTGCCCTTGAGAGCGGCGTCGAGTGAAAAGGGAGCAGCAGAGTCGAGGGAGAAGGATGGGGGGTTCACAGAGGTGCAGGGGCCGGCGGACTGTCGTCGGTTGGAAAGGATGCCAGATCTCTTTCCACGAGTTGGCGAACGGCCAGCGGGGGCAGAACTCGGCGACGACCTGGTGATGCGGGTGTTGAGCTTGGCAATGGGAGACTTGGGCTGGAGGGTTCTTCGAGGTGCCGTGGAAGAAGGCTTGACAGGGCTGACCAAGGGCCCGAGGTTGGCACTGGGCGTGGCGGCGGCTCTGGTGACGAGGTATGATGCGGGCTTCCTCAGCACATCCTTGGTCGGGGTGCCCGAGGCGCCTTTGGTGCGCTTGGCAAAGACGACGGGATCGACATTTTCAGAATCATCCGGATGAAGGAGCTCAGCCTTGCGTTTGGTGTTGGAAGGGGGGACGACTGCTACAAAGGTCAGCTCGGCACCATGGGTTCAGATTCAGCACAGGCGTCGCGCCTGCAGGACAAACGGCAGCACTCGAGTCACGGCTCCCAACCGCGGGACGTGTATACGTACCATTCTGTCTGTTCTTCAGGCTTGTCAAGCCCTGCAAACGGGCTGCGTCGAGGGGGGCGAAAGGCTGACGAGAAAGAGTAGCCATGGCGACGATGATGCAGTTGACAGTGGCAGGCGAATTAATCGCGGGGATGAAGTGAGCAAAGAGGTGAGGAGGTGAAGCGAGGGTGAGGAGGGAGAGGCAGACAAAGGGAGGCGGAATAAGGGACGCGGCAGTCTTAAGACAGGGCCAAGCTCCGATGTGGCCGTCATTTTTTTAGCGAGCAGGATGCTGCAAGACACCCGAGACGACACAAAGATGCGGCAGCGCGTCGCAGCGCCAGGTCCCGTCTGAGGGGGGGGAGAGAGCCAAGCAAGGACTGGTTGGTGGATTGTTAGGGCTGGAGTGGAGGGCGCGTTGGCCCGAGATGGAGGGCGACCATTAAAGTCAAGGAGGACCAACGGCCAGACAGAGACGGGCCAGCGGGCTGTCGAGTCAAGGACTTGGAGCCAATCAGACTCGCCCCACCAGCCCACCTGGGCGTGACCCCGCCCGCCCCTGCATTTACGTCTCGTCGCCATTGCGCGTCAACCGCGCCGCGTCCTCCTGCGCGTCCCTCCGCCTGGCTGCCACATCGCGCCTGGGCGCCTGGCTGCTTGACAGCTAGAAACTCCCGCCCGTTTCAGACCAACCTCGGGTGCACGCACACGTCTGCAAGCCGTTCATAGCGAGGCATATACTTGGGGGCTGCCAATTAATCATACTACACTAACGCTATTCCAAGACCAAGACTACAAATTAAAAATACTTCAACGCCGCGAAAGCCGGCTCCTATTGCGATGCTCTTCGTCACTGATCCTCGTCGAGTTCGTGCGAAGCCATCCTCTGGCCAATAACAGCCGTAGGTTTGTGCGAGTCAAGACCATGCTTCCCAAGGCCTTCGTGACGTGTAGCCACAGTATCATCACGGTCCATGCCATGTGCCCATGTTCTGCTGCTGGATCCCGCTGTACCGTCATCCTTCAACTCGTGAGGCGTTTCTGTGCCGCGAGACTTGACCATCTCATGAGCGTGAATGTCATGTTTGCTCACCGCACAACCCCCAGTTCCAACCAAAACGTCTCTATCAAGGGCGTGGTGGTGATCAACTTGGCTCAACGGCACCGGTTGATGAGCCTGCAAGTCGTGACAAACCACCGTCTTTGATTCCGCAACAGGGTCACAGCACAGCTGATGGGGTGACCCGCAGCTTGAATGGCTGGCAGGAGTCGTGGCATCCTGCTGAAGCTGGTGGGAAGGGCTGTGATGACGGTCACTAGTCTTGATGTCCGACTTCAAGTCGTGAGCGGGCCGAATGGTACCCGTGACCACCAGCTCATGATCCTCGAGGGAGTGCTTGCCAACAATCTTGGCGATTGCAGAGTTGAGGGGCTTGCAGTCTTCCTTCTTGGCTTCGTCGTCGCCCTTGTCAAAGGGAACCAAATACCAGTGTTGGTCCAAATAGTGAACTTGTGGGTAGGCAACTCCCTTGGCGGTTGTGACTTGATCGCTGCGCAAGTCATGTGGTCGTTGCCTTCCATGCGACGCCCTGGGCTGCGCAGACCCGGCACTGTCTGGCTTCAGATACGCCATGGGATTGACTGATTGATAGCCACCGTCGCTCATGACAGACACTTCGTGATGATGATGTCCCTTGACCCTCTTGTGATTCTCTCGGAGCATGATTTCTTGCTCGTTCCGCACCAACGTCAAGGTTGGGCAGAAACAGCCACTGCACCAGTCGGAGCATTCATGGCCGTCAATGCCATAGAACGACCGGACGGTAGTTTGGAGCCTGGACAAAAAGAGTCCATAGACTATCATCATCAGTTAATACGCAATGCATAGCTGTGACGACGGGATATCATGGGAGAGCAGACGCACACGGAAGGCAAAGGGCGAATTGAGCGCAGTCGACGCCAGTACAGCAGGAGCCCTTGGCGGTTTTCTCGGCATCTTGTCCGGAGATTGCAGCCTTGAGACGATGTGAAGTTCGACCGTATGCTCCGCAAGGCCAAATGCATGCGCCGAACCACGACATGGCACCCGCGCCGCTTTTGCCATCATGAGTCTCCAGCCACCGCCATTGACGTCCACAGTCAGCAGCAGCCTTCTTACCCATTGGTACAGAGAAGGGGGTTCGTTACTCGTGCGCAGGGCAAGAGGCTGACGAAGCTGTCAGAATCGATATTGGTCGAGTTGATCCCGGCAGTGTCTGGACAACAAAAGCCCTGTGTCGGGTCGAATTGACGAGCCGCAGTCGAAAAAACAGCAGCGTAGATGGCTTTTGAGTCTCGGCTGTATACGAATGAAGTGAGTGCTGGAAGATTGCACATGTGATATACAAGGAAATGCAGCCAAGACGTGAAGCTGGTTTGATGTAGCGTACCAAGAGAAGAGCCACACGAAACGAAACAGACAATACTTTGTGCCGGGAGATGAAGATGAGAAAAGACGATCCGTAAAGAAGCAGGGTAAACATGGACCCAAGAGACGGCAAAGGGGCATGATTTGTAAAGTTGGCGAAGGAGCCGCCGACAAAAGGTTCTATTGCCAAGATTGAGTCTCCCAGAGTGCAGTGCAGTCGCCGTCGGCCGTCGCCATGGCAGTTGCACCCGAGCATATCGTTGGCAGCCCGGTCATCGCCTTCTTCCAAAGAGTCACTGCCAGCCAAGTCGAAGCTGACTTGTTGTATGTGCAAGACTCCGGAGCTTGCGTCGCAGCAGCGTCTCTTTCCTTGCAATTCAGAAAGGCGGCGTTGTGGAAGCCGCTCACAGGCATGAAGTCGTACAGGCCTGCCATACGCTCCGTGACCGTTGTTGCGCTCTTCCGCATTCCCGAGGTGCTGAATTACTTACTCAAGTACTCAACAGACAAGATGGCATAGGCTTGCTGAAAATGGCGCCTGTGATGCAAGGTCCTAACCCCAACCCCAGAGCAGAACGCCTGACCGTCGCAGTTAGACGGCCCCAAGAGGTTCGAGCCATGTGCAGCCGTTCTCAAATATATCCTCAAGGTATATCCAAGTAGCGTCCATCATTCGTGTCCTGAATCCCGATGTGTCAGTCGCACTTCAGCGATTACTACTGAACGTGCAGCCTGCCAGCTTGTCCACCAGCCGGCCACGTTGCATCGCGGCAGCTCATCACATCGCCCGGGACCAGCAAAAAGTCAGTCAGTCGCTTCGCAGAAAACAAAAATTTAGTGCAAGACTTGGCAAAACTTGTAATTGTGACGCGTGACGTGATGGCGCCTGATGAGTTACAACTCGCAAGTCGCCGGGCAACCCACGAATTCTATAAAAAGTCTGGCAACACCTGCATGCCTCCGTGATTCAACAGGCCAAGGCATGCACTTCTCCCTGCGGCTTGTTCCGTTTCAGACTCCAGTTTGAGTGGGCACTGTTACTCTGGCCACCGTGGACTCCGCCGCAGTATCGAGGGAGACACAATCCATGCATGATCCGATGTCGGGGCAGGACAGTATAATAAATCGATGGACTCAGGATAGGAGACAGCCAGGCAATGACTACCGAGGTACTGAACTGGTAGGAGATTGAGCAGCATGTCACTATGGGGTGCTTTCATCCATTGCCAAGGTACGGATTGCTCCGTGTAGCTGTAGTAGTAGTAATCAATAAATGAAGCAAGAGATCACGAAGAAAGCGGTGTGGCAGAGGACCTCTGTGCCGGCTGGAACACGTTCAAAGCGACGGTTGGTAGTATGGCGGCCAAGACTTGGCCAAGGCCTGCGGCTGACCTAGGGACGCGCCTGGTTGGAGCAAGGAGATTGATTGTAGCAGTGTCATGAATGTCGCGAGACGATTCAGGTGTTCAGGACTGATGATGTCGTCGGTGACCTTTTTGGCAAACAGTCTACATTTGCTTGTTTTGTTGTGGGCATTACCGTGTGGTCGAGCTGCACATGTCCGCAAGCTTTGGATGTATACAGGGCCGTTTCATTGAAGATGAATCCTGGGGAGGTGATAACTTTGGTGATGGCTCCGGAGTTCTTTCGTCTCAAGTCTGGAGCGAGCCAGCAATCTTCTCAGAGCCAATGAACAAATTGGCGTGTTCGAGCCCGCTAGTGCAGCCGCCGTGGTCTGTGGTCCATCTGACTGGCATGGGATGGCCTGTCTTTGCATGAGTGGAGGCAATCTGGTGATCGGTTTTGGCAGTCGTCTGGGGGTGGCATCGGCGGGATTGTTGAGGCTGCAGACGTGCGTTATCATCGGAATCGCATCCTGGACAGAGTACTGTACGGAGTACGGATAGCCCACAGAATCTGGGCCCAGGGGAATGCAGAGGGGCTGCTGGCATTGATTGCTGAGCTTGCGGCTTCCGGCGTGAGGCTTGATTGAGGCTTGAGAACCAAAGAAGAGGAGAGGTTTTAAGTGTTGGGAAGAAGACTCGTCGCTCCTGCCTCCAGAGTAAGTACCTAGGTACCAGGTCATCAAGTCCAATTACACGGTATGAATGCTGCGTGTAGCTACCTCCATACGGAGTACTTGAGTCCCTGCCTGGTACGGAGTACTCCGTAAGTAGCTTTCAACCTTTTTAGGAGCCGTTGTTCCTGCAAATTGCCTCGACTGAATTGTTGCAACACCTCACGGGTGCATCCAAACTCTCGCTTGACCTGTGCCGCTCACAAGCCACAATTGTGGCCACACAAACACAAAACCTTGGCCGTTCTCGTTTTCATTCCAACCGTAATTGGCCACCACAGTCTATCTATCCCCTCTCTGCCTATTCTTATCGCTTCATTTATTAACCCCAGGTGCGTGCCGGGCGACTGTCCGTTTTTCGCCTCTTTGGTTTCGCCTCTTTGGTTTCGCCTCTTTGGTTTCGCCTCTTTGGTTTCGGCTTTTTTTATTTCTTTTTTTGGTTGCCTCGTTCTTCAGTCCGCGGCAAATCGTGTTGCAGAGCGCATCCCGTTTGTCTCTTCTCCCTTCTCGTACGGAGCTGTGTGACGCGGAACCTCACCAATCGTCGTCGAGTGGCTGGGCTGTTCAAAAGATTGGACTCCATAAACCACGGAGTACCTTCTACTTGCGTACCAGGGCCAGTCGTCCCGACTTTCACACCTTTGATCGTCGGTCGCCGAGTACCTAGATACGTCTGCAGGTCGACGACCGATCAACAACAACGGTTGTGCCAAGCAACCTTGGCTAAAGGAGGACCCAAGAAAGAAACATCTTTTTTCTCAAGTTTCGCAATCTCGTTTTACCCTGACAACTCATTCAACCTCTACGCATTCCACGGGGAGTACGGAGCACTCTTGCCCCGAGTTCTTAGTACCGGCAACGTTGCATGGTCGACCTGCCAGGCCCCGACACTTTGACCGATTGAGTGCGAATCCCCCCCCACAGAGCATTAAAGCAAGTCGTCGGCCTGCATCAGGTGTACAGAGAAGTTGGTACGTTGCATGGCTTCCCTTTTTCCATGTCTGTCTCGCGTTTTTGCATCTTGCTTTTACGATGAAATTTTGGCCATAGTCGCATGATTTCTGTCTGCACTCTAGACAGGGAGGGACTGGCATCAACAAATACAATCTGCCACCGCCTGCTGCCCCTTTTCTAACCTCGAGCGTCAAGTCCGGCCAAAGCAGCTACCACTCCTCACAGCGAACCGCGGCCATGACCTCGCACGAAGAAGCACCGCAGAGCTATCCCATGACCGATACCTGCCTCGCAGTCCCCGAAAAGACGGCCAAGGCACCATCTCCCCAGGTCACCTCGCTGGAGAGAACCTCCAGCGGCACGACGGATCGATCCGACAACAGCAACCCATTCGAGACAGATGTCGAGGCGCTGGCGACCAACACCTCCCTGGACAAGCCACGGTGCAGCGCGATCCTCACCCGGAAGAAGGACTGCCAGGTTTGGCCAAACAAGCGCGACTGGAAGCAGCGAGCCAAGGCGGGCAAGAAAAACCGCACCTGTGCGTGCATGCAGCGATTCAACCGACGGACCAAGATCATGATCAAAGTCCTAATCATCGTCCTGGTCGTTGGCGTCGCCGTCGCCGTCGGTTTCGGCGTCAGCAAGCCCCTCGGTGCTCCCATCTGGGGTGACCAAAACACACATTCGTGAAAGCTGGGCGAATTGTGCCAGCATTGCATCATCACAAACAGCGATCAAGGCCTTTCCACGTCCCGATTCACCTTGTACATTGTGATCCCGTCGACGGAAACATGATGCGACAACCATGCCTACGTTCTGTACATATATACCTTTTTCTTTCAGGGCCCGTTCCGCGGCTCGGGATGCTTGTTGGCAGCATCTCTTTGCACTGTTCCTCTTGGCCTCGTTTTTTCTCTTTTCTTTTCGCTGCCATCATTTCAGCGTCTTCGAACGCGTCTCGATGCGATGGACCAGCAGAGAGTCATTTACATGACAGCATGGCGTTTTACGGCGTTTTTAGAAACCCCCCCTACAACAGGCAGCTATAGACGGGTACATGGGCATGCTACAGATGCAAAGGACATGATTGATCGATTCGTTAGATCAGAGGGGGGCTCATGACAGACGAAAATTGATGGTGCGCCTGCCAAACACGACGCTCCGAGCAACGTGACTGCATCCCGTGAATCTGCCTGTCTGACTGTGATTGCATTGTCGACAATTTCGCCCGTCACGTCAACCTGCGGGTCAAGACTAAAGACTCCATCCAGGGCGGGCGGGCGGCCGCCCGTCGTGCAAGTCTGGTTGCTGTTCCTGCACCAGCGTTGCTCCCGCCCCGCCGCCACGCGCCCGCACCATGCTATGCCGGGCCTAGTGGGCTGGCCCTGCCTGACCCAGGCTAAGTGCCAGGTACGGAGTACTCCGTGCCTTACTAGCTGGTAGGTACCTAGGTACCTAAGTACTTGAGGAGGGACTGCTGTGCCAGCATCGTTGGTTGTTCCCGGGACATGGCCTTGCCCGGCGGGAGGCGCCGGCTTACTTTCAAGAAGTACTTAAATTACCTAGGTACTTAAGGAGGTAGATACCCAGGTATCTAGGTACTTAGGCTAGTGGAGGCGTCGATGCCTAAAAACCGCTTCTTGCACGCGGGGACTGCCCATCTGGTCAAATCTCTTGCTTTGTAAAAGACGGGCAGGAAAAGACGGGCGAGTTGCAACGACATGCCAGGTACGCAAGACGCAAGGATGTAGCTACTCTGCTGCTGTTGTCGCCGCTGCCGCTGCTGTTGCTGCTGCCGCTGCCGCTGCGCTGGGCGAGGACGACCCGGCGCAGTGTCTTCTTCTAAAACGCGGCATGATGCGCGTTGACCACGGATACACGGGTCAGCCCAGCCATGGAGCAGCGGCAGCCACCGGTGTGCGCCATCGGGACGAGGACGAGGACGAGGACGAGGACGACTAGTTCCACGTTGGCCGCCTCGGCCCTTACGTAGCCTCCATCTCCGTGGCACATGGGCAGGGTCGAGTCAACTCCATGTGGTTGAAACGGCCGTGTCCCTCTCGCCTCAAACACCGTGCACCTTGGCCCAACCCAATCCTTGGCATGCCTGGAGCATGTCGTGGTCACGGCTTTGCCCACCTTTATACGGTAAGAGTCTAATTGTTCAATGTATAATGCAGTAAACCTAAGCCCCGTTGCTTTTTCAGTTATCCCCCATCTACCCCGTACACCACCTGTGCCATTGACCTCGTGGGCCCGCCCAAATCCAAACAGCACATGTTGCAGGCTCGGCCATGAATCCTCTCGACGGCTGTTATCCCCGTGTAATCCCCAATTCTTGTACTTCCACAGCAGTAGTTATTGCTGCTCACGGCTTTTTTCCTCTCCCCAGGCCAAGCCGAAGAGCCAGCCGGGCAATCACACCGCCTGCGAACGAGCAGGGGAAAAAAAGAGAAAGAGAAGGAGAGAGAGCGAGAGAAAGACAAGACAAAAATAATAGTTAGTATGATTACAATGCACTCATAAAAAAAAAGTTCAACGCTCTTTCCACTCGGCAGCAACTCAGCACCCCATCTGATTGTGGGCATACAACCACGTAGTTGAAAGAAAGCAGTATTACTCGTGTTTGCTGCTTGCAGGGAGCCGTCATAACAAGGCTAACTATGCCTCGACCGGTATTCGTCAATATTGTCTGGCATCGGAGGACCACGCTGCCGGCAACTCATGGCGATATCGGTTCATGGCAGAGCATTATCCAAACAAGTAATAATTCGACGGACCTAAAATCAGACCGACTGGTAAAGCAAAAGAGGTTCGCCGACGTTTTCGATTTCAGGAATTGTACATTTCAAGTCGAAAGCTTTTGATAGAACAATTTTGAAAATCTAATGGCCAAGGTCAGACTGCAATGGGGAGGCGAGGGCCAAACGAAGTCGGTCGGGTTACGTCGTACCTTTTGCACATTGATGCTATGACTGGTACTCGAAAAGATCAATGATGCTCTCATCGCCTTGGCAAATCTCCTTGCCTGTGCAGAGTCAGATGCGATTCGTTGCGTCGTGACTGCTACCCTTCCCTTGCATGTATCAACTTACCTGATTGGAAATCTCCTCCTGGTCTTGAATAGGAAAGTTGACAAAGTGATCATATTTTGTGCCGACCAAGATAGGAATTGCCGTCTTATTGAATCCTCGGCCTTGGCGATACCATTCCTTGATGCTGTTGAGCGTGCTTTTCCTTGTCAAGTCAAACATGAACAGGATGGCCACGGCGTCGTTGCACACCAAGGGCAGCATATTGACAAACTCGCGCTGACCACCCAGATCCCAAATGGAAAAGGTGATTTCTGTGTTTCTGATGGAAATGGTCTTTTCCATAAAGTTGACACCTAGGGTCTGAATATAATCTTCGTCCCAGCTGCCCTCGACGTACTTGACCATGAGGGAGGTCTTGCCAATCTGGGCGTCACCAACCATGCCAACCTTTATGACGACATGGTTTCGGCCGTTTTGGGGCTCATTGGAGCCTTGCCTATAGTCGCTGTGAGACTGATGCGTCGGGTTGGACAGACCACTGGCAGGCCGTGAGTGCGAGGGCCCCGAGACGGGAGGCGTATATCGGTGTGAGGGGTCGTCGTCTTGTCGCGGGCTGGCGGGCATTACCTGGTCGATTGATGGGTTGTGCTGGTGGTGGAAGCCGTTGCTGGAAGCGACGTGGGGAGAGCCTTCGATGCCGCCAAAGGTGTCGTCGGGACCCTGGAGAGGCGTCGCGGGCACTTGGTGGTCCATCTCCATGTCGTCGACGGCGGCAATGTGCTCGGGTGGTGCGGCGTCCGCTGCGGGATCTGTTGACGGATCCAGCTTGAAATGTCCGGGCAGATGCGGGCGTCGGTGGAATGAACGAAGCGGTCAAGGACCAGATGCCGAATTCGGAGGAGATGCTTTATATTGCAAGCAGCGCAGATACAAAGCGTCCAAGAGCAGAAAGGGAGAGGCGGAAAGGAACGTCAGCCGTCTGACTCTGGCTGGTGGGACACATGCAAATGCACGATGGCGTAGTTGCTAGTCAAGCCGGTCGACTATTAAAAGTTTCGAGGTGCGGCGTAAACGTCAGCTACTGCGGAGACGACCTGGCGGCGGTGGTGAGATGGACACCACCCGCGCGAGACGACACTGCACGCAACACCACGGCACCCGGGCAAGCAAGGCGAGGCCCGAAGCGCGAAGCTCGACAGATGTTGGGCTGCGGGCGAGCACAGGGTGGTCGACGGGAGACGAGGCGGATGATGGGCGCCTCTCCGGATGCGATGGCGGCGGGTCGAGAGCCGGCGACTGGCAATAAAGATGAGAGGGGTTTGAATGGGGAGAAATGGGGAGAAATGGGAATGAAATTTTTCAAGCATGAAAGTCGAGACGTAGTTGCGAAGGGCCGAAGGCGGTGCTGCGAGCAAAAGGCCAGGCACGGACGGGAATTGACAGGAACAAAAAGCCACTGCCCACAAGTCAAATGGAAGGAGCATCAGAGGAGAGAGTTTTGATGGATCTGTCTGTCACCGGACGTGTCGCCGGACGTGTCGCTGGACCCAGAGAGGTCCAGCGGCAGCCACATGCTGTTGCCAACCCCCGACTAGTGGCGTCTGGAGCGCAGATGAGCCTGTAAAAGAAGCGGTCGGGTGGGCGTTGGGGCGGGCAAACGCCCAAGGCCGACACCAGTTGTGACGTGGAAATCTGTCAGATGCTGGACCACCAAAGTTGTCGAAAATCCGGGCACCGCGCTCGAATATACTTGACACATTACGAATACATGTCGCACCGGCGCACGGCAGCTTGTGCTTCGAGTTCCCTGGCCGTTGCTGTCAGTTCTCCGCTGTGCGCCCAGAACGACCTTTTTTTTTTTTTTTTTCGCTAGCCGGACAAGACACCACCAGAACTGTCTAGGTTCAACAACGCTTGCCACTGTGCTCCCTGGGACACAAGCATGGTGAGTTGTGGGTTGCGACGCCGGGCGTAATACCGGCGCAGCGCCCCAGGAGGCTGAGCATCATCCATCATCGTTGGGCACTGATATGTCTGTTGTAATTTTCGTGGCGCCCACCATGCATTGCATTGTTCAGAAACGGGACGCCTGCCCAAGGTGACACTGCTAATTGCTAGCAAGCAATGGCATGCCATGCGCATAAATACCTACTGTGGTGGTAAGGAAAATACCACAAGGATTTCTACGAACTATCAATTGATCAGGGGTAAACCATTTATCCGGGACTCCCATCGGCGATCGCACATACATTGGAGTACGTACTGACCACTAAGTAAAGTACCTATTCAAGTTCCTTCGCGCGCGGACTCTGTTTCTAAGGAGTAGTGAGGTGAGACTAAAGTAAGTTATATAACTTAAGCAAATATGAGGCATTATTACAGAGTAGACTAATACGCCTAATGCCTACTAACTATTTAGCATTACAGACCCCTTAACTATTGAGCTAAAAGAGTACGTAATAGACAAGCTGCCCTAAGCTTGCTCCTAAGTATTCTGTACTTTACATACCACACAAGCGTGCAATACATACAGTTCCAACGCATGCGACGACTTTAGAATGCGAGTCGAGTCGTCTTCTCGTCTGGCGTGTCTAACTTGAATCCATCAATTCTGCTCACGTCCTTGGCATCTACTCCATGGCTCGAGCCAAGTTGCTACATCCTTGCAAAACACGCCAAAACCCCAAGGGCACGCATTCTCGTACTGGGACGTCGCCACCTGCCCGTCAACTTGGCACCCACGGCGAGCGGCTTCGACAAAGGCCTATTCGACCTCGCATCGGCGTGGAATGAAAAGGCTCCCGTGGAGAGGCGCGTGAAGAGGCGAGGAGAGGGCTCACTGGTAGTCGTGTAAACTTGGGATTGCCACGGCTCTTGCCAGGCTGGCGGCAGACCACAACAGCGTCAGAATCATAGATAGACATTGCGCGGCCGGCGTGATGCAGCCATGCCTCGGCGTCTTCAACAAACACGCAGCCTGGCACACAGACACCTACTGCACAATCCTCACCGTCCTGCCCACCTCGCCCCTCTCGACCTGCGCAACTCTGGCCGTCACCCTGCCCCAAATTCGGTCCGCCACCTCCTCCACGCTGCCGGCCGCATCGACAACCACCAGGTCTTCCTCCTCCTGCCGCCATTGCGCGCCCTCCAACCCCCCCAGGCCAGCCAGCATCTCTTGTCCCTGGACGTCCTTGCCGCCCATGCTGAGGCTCCAAAACAGCTCCCTTACCCGTCGCTGCATCTCCGCCTTTTCGTAGAGCTCTCCGCCCCAGCCTCCGCGCGACTCGGCCGTCTCCTCGTCCAGGTCCAAGAACAGAACCAGATCCGGACGGGGCAGGCCGCGCTCCGCCGCGCGCGCCCACGACAGCGGCAGCGAAGGGTTCAGCTTGGCAGCCGAGTAGACGATGCCGGAGTGGTAGAAGCGGTCTGAAATGACGGTCGTGCCGGCCGCGAGGAGGCCCTTGATCTTGTCCCTGCTCCATCCACGTCAGGTGCCACGTCACAGGGCATCGTAGTAGTCAGGCTGACAATGGCGGCGGGACTTTCAACACATGGATGGACTCACGCTGCCTCCCAGCGATTCGCACTAAACAGCAAGTGAATGGCATGGTCCTCCATCTGCACATCGCTCTTCAAATACGCATCAATCATCTGTCCAATCGGCGTGGTCCTGTCTACGGGCGACAAGTCAGCACACGAGCTCGTCAAGCTCTCCTTGGCCTCAAGCAGACGACAAACACATGGCCCAAATCGACCCGACCTGGGGGGGCAAAGGGAAAAAAGAGAAAAAAGGGAAAAGAAAAAAAAACAGAGACACGGGGGGAGAGAGAGGGAGAGACGCAGAGAGCGAGCGCGCGCGCACCGGGAAACCTCACAGCCCTGACCCTGCTCCCCTGCTCGACGAAGCGCTGCTCCAGAAGCTTCACCTGCGTCGTCTTGCCGCTGCGGTCCAGGCCCTCCAGGACGATGAAGGCGCCTCGTTTCCCGCTTGCCGGCGTGTTCGAGGCCGTGGCCGCGGCGGCGAGGTCGTTTATAGAGGCCATTTTGGGCGGCGGCTATTGAGCTGCGAGCCGTCGACGGTAGCGCGTGAGCGTTGATGACGATGGCGGGATATTGTACTGATGATGAATGGACGGACGCAGGTTTGGAGGCGTCGAGGTGGGGGTCGGAAGTTAATTGCTTAGTGTGAAGCAATTTTTTGCTAAGTGCGTAGGATCCCTACTACGCTCTAATTTAAGGCTAGCAGGTCTACTGCTATACTTTGTAGTGTATTCTTAGTGTAAATATATAGTAGTAAATTACATTAAATTAAATATAAAGATAGTTTAAAGGCTACTTTACCTTTATCTTATTTTTACCTATAATAAATAATTATAATATAGAAGAAGTATCTAGTCTAAATAAAGTACTAAGATAAGAGAACTATATTTCAAGAAAGTTTCGTCTTTTACTTATACCTACTAGAAGAGCTTTTATTAATTTAGAAGTAGTAAAGGCTTTAGAGCTATTAAGCTTATAACCTATTAGAACTATATATTAATCTATAATGTAGAATATAAGGTATAAGTTATAATAGTATTTATTCTAGGCTATACTTGCGCTAATATATACCCTACCTACTAATCCAGCTAAAGTGACTGTGATTGGCTGTGGAAATCGAACATGTGTCTATGGTCAGCCCTCACCATACTATTGATAAACCCTCCATCCCCGAGAGCCAGGGAACCAGAGTTCTGGGGCGTGGATCCGTGTGGGGAGAGACCAATCAGGGACTGGGCATAAGAGCTCAGCTGGGTGGATTCTCGCTGCTCCAGCAGCAGCCCGGGGCCGCAGGCCCCAACACCAGCGCCCGAGGTCGGCTCAAGCCCGGTTCCATCATGCCAGCCTTGTCTCCTCCCGGCCTTAATGGTTTCGGCCGCGACTGTCTGCACTTTTGGTCCTCCAACAAGACAAATCTCTCCTCATCATTCACTCCGAGTCCATCTCCTTTGTCTCGACGCCCACAACGACGCAATGGCTTCAATTGTCTGCTCTTTGCGCGCCGTCGCTCGGCCCGCGGTCATGCGCCTTGCTCCCCGCGCGGCCGGCCGCTCCTTTACAACTTCTCGCTTGGGTAGGTGCCGAAACTGCTAGACGGAGAGTGGTGAAACGAGGAAGAAGACGACGGTTGCCAGGACAAGGATGGCGATCATGAGGCGGAAGCCATGGTTTTCACCGCGTTGTCAATCCGTCAACTGAGCACTGACCAACTTTTTTTCCACTGACGATGCCACGCACGCAGCGCTCGCCAAGAAATTCACCAAGGACCACGAATGGGTCGACCTCTCCGCCGACCGCAAATCCGCCACGATTGGCATCTCCCAGTACGCATCCGAGCAGCTCGGCGACGTCGTCTACGTCGAGCTCCCCGAGACGACGGGCGACTTTGTCGAGGCCGGTGACGCTATTGGCGCCGTCGAGTCCGTCAAGTCAGCCAGCGACATCAACGCCCCCATCAAGTGCAAGGTCGTCAAGGGCAATGCGCTACTGGAGGAGAAGCCGTCCACAATCAACCAGGTCCCCGAGGACGACAGCAACGGCGGCGGCTGGATTGTCCAGGTTGAGGTGGACGAGCAGGGCGCCAAGGAGTTTGACGAGCTGATGGATGCCGAGGCCTACAAGGCTTTCACATCCGAGTAAACGTACCATTGTGCCGCCGACATGAGCTGCAGTGCGTACATGGTATAAGGGAGGCATATATAGACGAGTCATGGGCCTTTTTTTTTTCTCTTCACATTTGGCAGTTCAACCTAGCACAGCAAGGGTCAAGAGATATTTGACAAGCGTGGACAATCATGGGACAAACAATTGTCGTTGCATCCCGTGCTGTGTATCGTACAATCCACCCGATGCCGCCTGATGATCGAGCACGCTAGCATCCATCACTGGCAAGGCACTCGTGTACGGCATGCAAGACGGCCAGACCGGGAGCCAATCTGTCTGGCAAAGTCCCTTTTCTATTCGTTTGGACTTTGTTTGCCATCCCACAAACCCCCTTCACCTTGTCACGCCCTCACTTCCCCTGGGGACGCGCCTTGTTGATGGCATCTAGAATCTTGTCGGCCCCCCTGCTCACCAGGTCCCTGGCCACTCTCTTGCCCAGCTCCGTCGCCTCCTCCTCGGACGTGACGGTCTCCAAAACGTCGGCGTCGACGCCTTCCTTGCCATTGACGGAAACGACCGTCGCTCTGAAGCGCAACTTGCCATCCACCCACTTGGTCTCGGCGCCAATGGGCACACTGCACCCGCCCTCGAGCTCCCTCATCAGACTCCTTTCGGCCACGCACGCCAGCATGGTGTCCCTGTGCTCAATCTCCGCGAGCGCCCGCAACACCTCGTCGTCCCCCGCGCGGCATTCCACCCCCAGCGCGCCCTGTCCGACGGCGTGCAATATCCCGCCATTGTCCACGTCCAGGTACTGCGATATGCGGCCGCCCAGGCCCATGCGCAGCAGCCCGGCGGCCGCCAGCACAATCGCGCTCAGCTCGGGGTCGTCGTCGAGCTTCCTGAGCCTCGTCTGGATGTTGCCCCGCACGTCCTTGAACCTGAGCGCCGGGTAGCGCCGGGCCAGCTGGGCGATGCGGCGGATGCTGCTGGTGCCGATGACGCTGCCGTCGGGCAGATCGGCGAGGGTCTTGAGGCGCCCCGTGTCGGCGAGGGCGGTTTTGAGCACGAGCACGTCGCGCGGGTCCTCGCGCTTGGTGACGGCGCCGAGGGCGCAGTCGGGCGGCAGGGTGGTGGGCATGTCCTTGAGCGAGTGGACGACCATGTCGACCTCGTGGGCCGCGAGCTTCTCCTCGAGCTGGGTCGTCCAGAGGCCCTTGCCGCCAAAGTTGTACAGGGCCGTGTTCTGGTCGCGGTCGCCCGTGGTGGTGGTGCCGAGGATGGGGAAGGACGACGACGGGAAGATGGACTGCAGCGAGGCAACGACGAGCTCGGCTTGGGCCATGGCCAGAGGCGACTTGCGCGTGCCGACGGTCATGGTAGGCGGCGCCATGGTGGTGGTCGGCCTTGCTTGGGGTGTCTTGTCGCAAGTTTGCGTTCTCTGCGACCTGCGGTTGACTTCTTGGCCGACCTTTTTTGCCGGAGCCGAGATGCCAACGGGTTTCAATCAATGTTTGTGCTCGGTCCAGAGTCGCATTGATGGAGGGGTAGCTGCCCGCTGCCAGCGTCCGGGTACGTACCTTGACCAGTACCGTACCGGTGGGGCTGCGCTGCCGAATCCAGGTTAACGTTACATCGTTGGCCGAGATCGGCAAACCGTTCAACGTCGACTGGTCCTTCATCAACACACGAATCTCTGCAACTTCATTTGATTCATAGAATTGGCTGGCCGAAGCTGGTCTACTGGGCGCAAACTTACGATGCTGCTGATGTGCAAGTCCAGACTCCCGCGAGCACCTTCACCAAGACGCCATCGAGACCGACGACGCCCTCGAGGCGTGCTGCGCATCCAACTTGAACCTTTCGTGGCCCAATCGCCGCATCTTCATCGACAGCGTGTATTGTAAGAATGCATACCTATTCTCTTTCCAGTTTACAAACACCGCCTCACCCTGCTCATTCCGCCGCCATGCATGTGGTCCAATATTTCCTCTTGTCCGGGACGCACCACCCGCCGACTGCAAACCTGATTGTCCGCCAACTCCTACATGTGGAACAGCAAAGTCTTGCATCAAACAAGTCCGCACGACTCTGCAAACAAAACAGTCAAGAATGTAATACAGAGCCACCAGGTGCAAGCACGCATGTTATATATGTCTGCACCCGGCCTCGACGAGCCGCAGCCAACCTTGTTCCCTCCATCCCACCGCGCGGACTCTCTAAACTCCTCCACCCCAGCCAACCCCCCATTATTTCCTCTCCAACATGAAGTCTCTTCCTTTCGTTTTGATGCTCTGCCTTGCTGCCGCCGAATCCCCCCATATCACAGATACGTCCATCGCGCCCAACTCGTCCACCACGCCGGCGCCACCGACACCGTCTGGAGGACCCATCTGCGAATGCGGCTTTACATACTGCGCATCAGTCCTCATTGCTATGAGTGCGTCTCTCCTCTCTCCCTGAAAAGCACATTGTTCCGTCATCTTCCCTGTTAACGCATTGGAATAGAGAAGCCCTGGACCACCAAGCAGCTCGCGGAGGCGTACTGCGCCACCCCAAACGCCGTGTGCAACAACGGAAAGCCAAACACTAGTGTCAACTCGGCGCTGTATATCTGTCTGTGCGATGACCCCGGACAGAAGCTCGGCACGCACCTGGACTTGCTGTGCGACTGTGACAAGTGCTTGGTTGTTGGCCCGGATTTCAGAGGGAGGTGCGAAACGCCGTGCCATTCTGGGCAGTGCAAGATCTGAGCGGATGTGAGTATTGCGTCAGCTTGATCGGGAGATCAGAACAATGGCGTCCAGTGTCGTGTTGCTTCTGCGTATCAACGGGACCGGTGTGGGAGGTCAGGGTCGAGGGGAGAAATAATGTTACCAGCCGACTGGCTGGAGGGGCACTACGAAAACCCTATTCCTGTCAAAGGCTATCAATTTTTTTTTATTTTCTTCTTCGGGCTCAATTTACTTTTAATAGGCACGGAACGGGGGTTGCCCCCCTCTACCATACACAGTTGAGCCGGGAGAGGACTGCACTTCTGGTCTGTAGGGTAGCAGGGCATGCGTGGAATTGGATCCAAGTTTTGGATGAAGCCATGATTCTTCAACATGCTCTGAAGTATGTGATGGGTGGTCTACTCGCACATTCTGTCAGCCAGTGAAGGCAGTGGATTATGGGTAGCTGCGTAGTTGTTACGCCTCATCATACATCATACTGCCGCATCGTACTGTCCACAGCCAGGCGCTGATTCATATACTTGAACGACTGAGCTTTTCAGTAGTGTGATTTTCTACTACGTACAGGGCCCTCTTGAGGCAAGGCAACTAATCCCAAGTTGCAGACGGCGGCTTGGTGGATCAAGTTCCGTTAACTTTTGCCCATGAGCGCAAAGCCAGTCTGCAGTGCCAACAGGTTGACTGAGGCCTGACGAGTCTTGGCAACGAGACGGTTGCTGAGAAATACTCGACAATGAGGGTGTCAGACAGGCCGACGATTCGATTTGAGTGTTGCACATATCCGCCGCATTGTGTGGAATCAATCGCTTACATGTCCAGTGGAGCGAGTTGCGTTGTATCACGCCTGCGGTGGTTGTCATCATGGTTATCTAAATGAGCAATGTGGCTGCGACGAACTCATCGAGACCATCCAAATACGGAAGTTGCCAACAAAGCGACAGAGAAAACACTGGCGCTAACTACGCCATGACACGTCTGTCAAGCACCGCGTGTCGGCGTCAGCTGAGGAGGAGAAGTCGTTCTCCGCCCGGAGCCGAGATCGTGGGCCGACGTAGCGGGGCATCCATCGCGGGCGCATCGGTGTGCTGGGCGGTGTCGAGTGGCTTTTTTTGAGGCTGGATGCATGGAAGACACGACGAAAAGGCACAATGGCGTACGACTCGGAGGCGGAGGCGGAGTGGTGGTGGTGTTGCTTGAGCTGCAAGTACGGAGTACTTAGGCTGCCGGGTCTTAGGTAAGTGTAGGTACTTAAGTAGGTACGTAACGTTGGGTAAGGTAAAGCGGCGGTTGACACCAACCTTGACGCGCTTGAATGCATGCATGCAACTTTGTCCACGAACAGCGCGTGATATAGTTACGTACGGCTCGGCCGGCTTGCTGAGCTGCTGAGGTTTGACGGACACGCAACTTTCCGTCCACAAGACACAAGACCGATGACGCCGCTCCAGCGCACCCAAGCCCGAGTGCTGGGGTAATTGACTGCAAGTACTTAGGTACCTACCAAGAACTTGAGTAGGTACCCAAAGACCTCGTACTCGGGTAATCGTGCCCGCCCCACTTTATGTGGTTCGGCTAGCAAAAGCCCTCACCACCAAAGTACCGGGCGCGTGCTGCTTTCCAAGCTTGACCCAGTACGGAGTACTTTCCCTAGCCTCCAGTTCAAGGCCGCCTTCCCCTCCTCCATACCGACCTACTTAGGCAAGTAGCTTTCCATCCCTCGACCTTACTTAAGTGGCTAGTCGCAGTTAAAATCCAGCATACTTACCATTGTCCCTCAGTCGACAGTAGGGCTTGGCTTCTGTTGCTGTTTGCAAGGCGCCCAACATTTGATTTCTGTCTCGAGTCCCCTTCATATTCAACTCGGCTATGCTTGGCTGGTGCGTGTACAAGCTCGGCTTTGCCCTCGTGACCCTTCTTTCTTCACCGGCTATCGACGACCGTACCGTGTGATACTCGGACGCCTAGTTCCTCGAGAATCGACCCCTGCGCGACGCGATTCCATGAATAGCGCGGCTAGATGACTGCTCTGTCATGATGGCGTCGAACGTGCTCCGCCCGCTCTCGTCTGAGCTTTCCTCCGCCGCCCTAACCGCTACTCGTCTTGCGCGACGTCGCCTCGGGCCGAAAGGTTGCATCTGTCTACTGCGTCCCTCCCATTCTCTCCTTTCTATGATACTGTTGCTCCAATCGCGGAATGAAAACCTCAGTGACAACAACTGACTAATTGGGCCGATTTCGGAGGTGTAGATGTACTTTCATTGTCTTGCGCTCGTCGCCTCGGATACAGTACTCTTGGGCAAACCGAGCAGCGGGCTCTCGTTCCTTCCGTGACTCGCAAGTGCCTGGCTTTGGTTCGCCATGCTTCTGTCGCGACGACAATAGTGCCAGAGGCTGGAGAGCACCAGCATTCTCCAGAGGCGCTACCTCCGACGATACCCTACAGTCGCCTCACCGTCGGTGTGCCAAGGGAGATCTACCCCGGTGAACGCCGTGTTGCTCTCACGCCAGCCAATGCCGCACTCTTGCTCAAAAAGGGCTTCGGAAAGATCATTGTCGAGCGTGGCGCTGGCTCGCAAGCCGAATTTCTCGACGAGGCCTATGAAAAGGCGGGTGCTAACTTGGCTGACGGTCCACAGGCCGTGTGGTCTGCATCCGATGTTGTCCTCAAGGTTCGCAGTCCGTCCGCGGATGAAGTAAACTATATCAAGGAGAAGCAAACCGTCATTTCTTTCCTGCAACCCGCTCAGAACCAGAGTCTCGTTCGAAAGATTGCAGACCGCAAGGCAACGGTCTTTGCCATGGACATGATACCCCGAATTTCTCGTGCGCAAGTATTCGACGCCCTGAGCAGCATGGCAAACATTGCTGGTTACAAGGCCGTTTTGGAGGCCTCCAATATCTTTGGACGATTCTTGACTGGCCAAGTTACCGCCGCCGGCAAGATCCCTCCCTGTAAGGTCTTGGTTATCGGTGCCGGTGTCGCTGGTTTGAGCGCTATTGCTACAGCTCGACGAATGGGCGCCGTTGTTCGTGGATTTGACACCAGACCCGCCGCCAGGGAACAGGTGCAGTCTCTTGGCGCAGAATTTATCGAAGTCGATATTCAAGAAGATGGCTCTGGAGCCGGAGGTTATGCCAAGGAAATGAGCAGGGAGTTCATTGAAGCTGAAATGAGGCTTTTCAAGGACCAGGCCAAAGAGGTCGACATCATTATTACCACCGCCCTTATTCCCGGCAAGCCCGCTCCAAAGCTTATCAGAACTGACATGCTGGATGTCATGAAACCTGGTAGCGTCGTTGTTGATCTTGCCGCCGAGGCCGGCGGTAACTGTGAAGCTACCAAAGAGGGCGAGCTGGCGATGTATAAAGACGTCAAAATTATCGGTGAGTTAGCTGCGAAGTGTCATCTGTCGCCGCCTGTCCTCATACTAACATAGATGCAGGATATACCGATCTGCCTTCACGCCTGCCGACCCAGTCTTCGACCCTTTACTCGAATAACATCACCAAGTTTCTGCTTTCAATGGCCCCCAAGGACAAAGAATTCGGAATCGACCTCTCTGATGAAGTTGTCCGCGGCTCAATTGTTACCCAGAATGGCAAGATTCTGCCCCCCGCTCCTCGGCCTGCTCCGCCCCCGGCCGCTGCAAAGCCTGCAGCTGAGCCTGAGATTGAGGTTCGAGAGCTCACCCCTTGGCAGAAGAAGACGAGGGAGGTTGGAGCTGTTACCGCAGGTATGGGAAGCGTGCTCGCCTTGGGCAAGTTTACTGGTCCGCTCTTCATGTCCAATGCCTTCACATTTGGTCTGGCTAGTTTGATTGGTTATCGTGTCGTTTGGGGGGTTGCTCCCGCACTGCATTCTCCTCTCATGAGCGTTACAAATGCTATTTCTGGCATGGTTGGTGTTGGTGGTCTTTTCATCTTGGGAGGTGGTTATGTTCCTGAGACGATTCCTCAAGTATTTGGTGCCCTGAGCGTTTTGCTTGCCTTTGTCAACGTCGGTGGTGGTTTCGTAATCACTAAACGAATGCTGGATATGTTTAAACGTACGTCTTTCCGGGCTGGGAACTCGTCGGCACTAAATTGTTAACGTGCATCAGGACCGACCGACCCCCCTGAGTACCCCTGGCTATACGCAGCGCCTGCGGTTCTTTTCGGAGGGGGGTTCATTGCTGCTGCTTCCACCGGCACCGCTGGACTTGTCCAAGCCGGATATCTCATTAGCTCTGTTCTTTGCATTGGATCGATCTCTGGTCTTGCTTCTCAGGCCACCGCCCGCATGGGCAACATGCTTGGTATTCTTGGTGTCGGGTCCGGTGTTCTGGCGAGCCTGCTTGCTGTAGGATTTTCACCCGAGGTTCTGACTCAATTTGGAGCCCTTGCCGCCGTTGGCGCATCGGCTGGTAGGTGCTTTGGTGTCGTTACCCTAGCTCATACACTAACGGATCACAGGAATGCTCATAGGCAAGAGAATCACGCCCACAGACCTTCCGCAGACGGTTGCTGCACTTCACTCTGTGGTTGGTTTGGCTGCAGTCTTGACCAGCGTTGGTAGCGTTATGGCTGATGTTGCGGATATTTCGACCTTGCATATGGTTACTGCATATGTCGGCGTCCTCATCGGTGTGCTACGGATATTCATGACTATTCTCTTCGGAGTTGTTGGCTAACGCGCTGTAGGTGGCATTACTTTCACCGGGTCCCTCGTCGCGTTCATGAAGCTGGCGGGTAGGATGTCATCCAAACCTACGATCCTTCCTGGCCGACATGTGATTAACGGGGGACTGCTCGCCACAAACATGGCTACCATGGGTGCCTTCATCACCATGGCCCCGGGGAGCCCAATGATTGCCGCTGGTGCGCTTGCTGCAAACACGGCACTGAGTTTCGTCAAGGGTTACACGACTACTGCCGCGATTGGCGGCGCCGACATGCGTATGTGTGCGGACAACCCTTCGTCTGATGAAACATGCTAATCAGGTCCAGCCGTCGTCATTACTGTGCTAAATGCCTACAGTGGATTCGCCCTCGTAGCCGAAGGCTTTATGCTGGACAATCCGCTTCTCACCAGCGTTGGAGCGCTGATTGGCGTGTCCGGCTCAATTTTGTCGTACATTATGTGCGTGGCCATGAATCGATCTCTCACGAATGTCTTGTTTGGCGGGCTGTCGACACCGACAGCCGTGCAGGAATATAAACCCCAAGGAGAAGTTACGCAAACAAACGTCGATGAGCTGGCCGATGCCCTACTGAATTCAGAATCGGTAATTCTAGTTGTTGGCTATGGTATGGCCGTGGCAAAAGCCCAGTACGCAATCTCATCAATCGTGTCTCGTTTGCGATCCAAGGGCGTCACTGTGCGGTTTGCTATTCATCCCGTGGCAGGCCGGATGCCTGGTCAATGCAACGTTTTGCTTGCCGAAGCCAGCGTCCCGTACGACATTGTGCTGGAAATGGACGAAATCAATGATGACTTCCCCGACACCGACTTGACTGTCGTCATTGGTGCCAACGACACTGTAAACCCGATTGCCATGGAAAAGGGGAGTGCGATCGAGGGTATGCCGGTGCTGCATGCGTGGAAGAGCAAGCAAGTTGTGGTGATGAAGAGAGGCATGGCAAGTGGCTATGGTAGGTAATCACCGTCGAAAATGTCGAATTAGGCTGACAGATGCAGCTGATGTTCCTAATCCCATGTTTTACATGCCAAACACGAAGATGTTGTTTGGTGACGCCAGGAACACCTGCGAAGGTACGTTTGGTTGAGCCGAAATATACGTTTGCAGTCTGTTAACCTCGTGCAGCAATAAAGACAGCGATCGAGGCGAAGATGTAAAACACGCTTGTTGGACGTATTTTTTCGGCATACTTTGGGGTTTTAACAAGAGCAGTAGATGAGCTAGATGTCTAGAACCCGTCAGGATGTTGGACGCATTACATGTTGAGCGTACGTTTTTTTGAATAGTCACGCCCTGGCGAACATGTTATACCGAAATGGAAGTGGCGCCTTGAGCTTTTATGCATAGAATAGGGTGTTTGTGAACGCTTCCTCTTGTCGTCTCGTCGAATGTCGGATCGGCTCGTGATTCGCAGCTTGGATTACGACAATTTAAATGTTTTGTTGATGAAGTGATAATCATGGTGAAGACAATGCCTGGATTTCTTAACTCGCAACCTATTTCTACAGTCCACACACATCTCCCGTCTCTCGAACTGATCTACGTCCTCTGGACAGCAACGGGCTCCCACGCTGAGATCTTGGGCTTGGTCCTGTCCGCAATGATCAGCACCCGACGCGACGCCCTGACAGCGCATGAAGCCATTCCTAGTGCACGGGTTACTTACGTGCTGTACGTCTTGAACGCGCCCCTAGTCTGAGTATAATTCGGAATAGGATGCGGCTTCTCAAACTTCCTCAAGCCTGTAGCCATCAGCTTATCCTCGGTCGGTGGCTTGTCCACAGCGTACGAAATCCAGGCGTGCCAGCCGGGATCAATCTGGGCGGCGTCGTAGTCGTGCTTGGCATATTCGACCCAGCGCGTACGGAGAGGCAACTCCTCCATGTTTTCGAAGAACTTGTTACCGGCGCGGTCGGTGCCGACAAGTCGACCGTACTTGGTGTCGCCTGCACACAAATGAGCTCGTTGGTCCGGTTCCGGATGCCACGCGGAGGGTGACGGCGTTCATACCGATATACTGTCGGGAGGGAAACGAGCTTAGCAGGCCTGTTTCATTTCTGTCGATCGAGCTTCGGAGCGGACAAGACGTACCAGCATTTGGCGGAAGTAATCCTAGACAAGTCAGCGCCTGCGTGGAGAGTGAAGGGCGACAAGACGGACCTTGATGCCAACCTTGCGCAGGTTGCTCAGCGTGCGGGGAAGGGTCGACATGTCGGTGGCTGACGATTCACCTCGCCGATGAATGAGACTCATGGAGATCTTGACGTGAGGTTGGAGGGCCGAATTGTTAGGATGGGCCGGGGAAACATCGGGTAGATGGGCCCATCCAATGGGGATGATTGATATACACGACACCAAACTTGCGCCTGGGACGAGAACCGCGAACAGATGCAAAATTGCTCCGTGAGACTGGATCATCCTGGTGGGAATGTTTGCACGTGCCTGCACCAAGTGCCTGGCCCGGCCGCGCACTGGTGCGCCACGGTCAAAGGCGTACTCGGTACGGATGCATCGCCGGTCGTTTGGCAGCGCGCCCTCAGGAGGTGGTGGTGCGGCGGCGGCGGCGGCGGGGGGGAATGGCCTCAATATCGGAATACTGGGGCCGCTCGTGAGCGAGTTGGATCGTATGGCGCCGAGTTTTGACATGAGAGGAGAGGACATCCGCGTCATGCGAACGCCTGCCGAGTTCTACGAAACCTTGAAGGTATGTATGCCTGGCAGCACGGGGAGGAATCGCCCGTGCAGGCAAGGCAGCCAAGCTGGACGGCCGGTCGTGGAAACTAAATTCACGCAGGGCCGCATACTCGGCGCCAAACGACGAATCTTCCTCTCGACTCTCTACATCGGCAGGACGGAGAAGGAGCTCATCGGGACGCTGCGGGACGCGCTCTCGCGCAACCCAGACCTGAAGCTGAGCATACTGACCGACGCGCTGCGCGGCACGAGAGAGGCGCCCGACTCGTCCTGCGCGTCGCTGCTGGCACCGCTCGTTGCGGACTTCGGCGCAGACAGAGTCGAGATCCGCATGTACCACACGCCCAACTTGACGGGCTTGCGGAAGAAGTACATCCCGAGGAGGATCAACGAGGGCTGGGGCCTGCAGCACATGAAGCTCTACGGCGTCGACGACGCCATCATCATGTCCGGGTGCGTGCGCGACCCTCGGACGGGCAGCCGAGCAGGGAGCTGAGCTGACCTTGGCAGGGCGAACCTCTCAACCGACTACTTCACCAACCGGCAGGACAGGTACCACCTCTTCTCGTCCACCGAGGTCACGGAGCACTTCTGGCGCATCCACAGCGCAGTCGCGTCGTTTAGTTTCCTGGTCGAGCCGTCGCGCGGGGACGCCGGGTTCACGCTCTCCTGGCCGGGGACGAACTCCGCGCCGTGCCCCCTCGAGGATCCGCAGTCCTTCATCAAGAGCTCGACGCAAACGCTGAGGGCTCTGGTTGCCCCCCCGGCGGGCAAGGCGCCCCGCGCCGACGCCAGCAACACCAGGGTGTACGCGCTGGGGCAGTTCTCCCAGGTCATGAGGCCGGACGCGTCCACCGAGCTGCCCGTCGTGGCGCACATCCTCAAAAAGCTCGCCCTGCCCGAGTACCGCGGCTCGTCGTGGACCTTTACCGCCGGCTACTTCAACCCGGCGCCGTCGCTGACCAAGCTCCTCATCGGCACGGCGTCGACCAACAACACCGTCATCACGGCCGCGCCTGAAGCAAACGGCTTCTACGGGTCGAGGGGGGTCTCGGGCCTCCTCCCCGACGCGTACGTCCTCCTCGCGCGCCGCTTCCTCGACAGCGTCAGCCGGCACCGTCGCGACGGCGACATTGCCCTCAGGGAGTGGCGGCTGGGAACGGCGGGCAGCCCCGGCGGGTGGACATACCACGCCAAGGGCCTCTGGGTGACGATGCCCGGGGAGACGTCTCCGTCCGTGAGCATCATCGGGAGCTCCAACTACACGAGGCGCAGCTACTCGCATGACTTGGAGGTTGGCGCGCTGGTGGTGACGCGGGACGAAGCGCTCAAGAGGCAGTTGGGCCACGAGCAGAGCTGGTTGCAGGAGCATTCCAGGAGGGTGACGAGGGACGACTTTGCCAGAAACGAGAGGAGGGTCGGCCTGCAGGTGAGGATTGCCATGTGGATCGTTTCACTGGTGGGTGGTGCATTATAGGGCCGTGCTGCACGCGTAGACGGACTCGATACCCGGGATAGAGCGCTTTGTATATTTCACACTGATCTGTATTGAGAATCAAGACTGGAGGAATGGACCCCTGCATGGCATAGACAGCCCGGGTGCGAGGGCGGGGGTCAGATTTTGTGCTGATATCTGCTTGTTTTTTTTGTCTTTTTCTTTGATGCAAAATATACATGTATAATTCTACAGCCACCCGCACCCGCCCCGTCTCCCAGACTTTACAACACAACCTCGCCGGTGGGCGGGGCGCTCTTGGCCAGCCCGACGACGCTGATGCGCGAGACCAGGTCGCTCTGATGCCTCGCAATCATCTCCTTCAAGACGCGCCTCTCCATGATGACCTTGCCCGTCTCCAGCAGGTCCTTGACGTCCACGCTGGCCATGTCGAGCGCCCGCCCCTCCCACGGGACCTGCTCCATGGCCTCGTACAGCCTCTGCCTCGGATCGCCGGTGATGAAGAGTGTCCGCCCGTCCGCCCGTCCCAGACCCAGCGCGTCGAGGACGCCCGTCATGTATTTGCGCAGGTATGCCTCCCGCAGGCCGTCCCTCATGTACTTGTCGGCGAGCATTTCAAAGTCCGCCGGCAGAGAGAGCTCCATTCCGTCCTCGCAGATGATCAGCTCGCCCCGCCTGTACCTGTAGCTGAGAGCTGTTCGCCACGCCTTGTCGTAGACTTTGCGGTTGAGCTTGGTCCCGAAGTCGCGGGGCTTGGGGCCGAAGGTCTTGCCGCCGCCGCGGAGGACGGGGCTTTGCTTGGTGCCCAGACGGGCGCGGCCGGAGCCCTTTTGGGGCCGCACTTTGCGGTGGGAGCCGTGGACTTCGTAGCGCGTCTTGCTCGAGGCGGTGCCCTGGCGCGTGTTGTCGCCTTCGAAGGTGATGGCGTGGTGGAGGATGTCGCGCCGGAGGGGCAGGTAGAGGTGCTGGACGGACCATTGCTCGAGGGAGGTTGGTTCGAGCGACGGGAAGCCATGGATTGTGACGGGGACGGTCGAGACTGGGAACAGTTCCCGTTAGCTTGCGTGGACGGGGGCCGGTCGGGGTTGGTTACCTGGGTTCCAGGACTGGACGAGGGACTGTGTGCTCGCGGATCGAGCCGGGCCTCGGAGGGGTGCTTCGGTGGCCATTGATCTCGAGATGGACTTGCCGGGGGAGACGCGCTGCGATAAGACGTGAGTATGCCGGCTTTCCCCCCCCAATGTCATTGATGATAAACTCACGTTGGCGGACACTCGCAGTGCGGCCATGGCCTCCACTAGGCATCCTAATCCTAGCGGCGTCCTGGGAGCCATCGTCGGTTTTGTGCCGCGGCACAGAGAAGCCCAGCCGTACGTGATCGCAGGAGCTGATGGCGCAGGCTTGCGCTGTTGAGCCGGCGAACTCGCGGTGCAGGTTTGCCTGCTCAGAAGTCAAAATCATGACCCGCTTGTTCGGCTCGGGCACGACGGCTTATTCCGCGCCGACACCCGGACGTTTATGTGGGTCCGTCGCCTGCCAATTGTCAAGTCGTCGACTTTTCCTCCTTGATCGAGTACGAAAATCCGGCATTGACAGCCACGTCCTTCGCACAACCGTCGAGCCAGACGTACAAAATGTCGCGGTGTCAGGCTGTCGCGCGGCCACTGGCAAAGCATCTGCGGCAGTCATGCGGCATTCGGTCGTTCACCGCGGGTGCCACCCGAGCCGCTGAGGTTCAGGAGCAAGCTGCGGCCGCGTCCGAGGAGCCCGGCTTCTCGGATCTCGACCCCGAGACCGTCCTCCCCGAACACGAAGCCCAGCTGATAAAGGCTGGGAAGATGCCAATTGGCTCGAGGAGACGACGAGTAGCCATGCGCACGACACAGAATGTCCCGTTCGAGCAGCTACCGTACCAGGCGTTCCAGGAAGCCCGCAAGATTCTGGCGGCCGATCGCGTGGACAAGCTGGCCAAGATCAAGGCGGAGCTGGAAAAGATTGCAACGCTGGAGGCCAAGGACGCTGCCGAGGTTCACGGTGGGCAGAGGATGAAGGATACCAGACTGGCGAGTCTGAGGAGGGAGGTTGAGCGGCTGAAACTCTTGGCGGACGCCAACGATCCTTTGGTCAAGAAGCGCTTTGAGGACGGCTTGGGTGAGTTTGGAGACCGTCTCGAGCACCGACTCTGTCCCACTGCATCGGTCGGGATTTCTGACTGTTCACGAACGCAGGTGACATGAACAAGCCCATCTACCGCGCCCTCGCCGAGAAGAAATGGCGCTCGTACGGTCATCGCCTCATCACGCAGCGAATCAAGCAGTTCAACATTGTGCCCGACCTTCTGCCCAAGCTGGAGCCCACTGCCGATGTTCAGCTTTACTTTCGCCGATCCAAGATTGCCCCTGGCGACGTCGTAGACAGCCAGGTGAGCGAGAAGGCGCCCCGCCTGCGCGTGCAGGTCTTCAACAAGGGCGAGCGCCTCGTCACCGTTGCCGTCGTGGACTCCGACGTGCCGGATATCGAAGGCGACACCTTCACCAAGCGGTGCCACTACCTGGCGGCCAACATCCCCATCAGCCCTACCGAAACCTCTCTTCCGCTGAGCAGGATCGTCGCCGAGGACCAGCTGGCTGTCCCCTGGATGCCCGCCTTTTCCCAGAAAGGCGCGCCCTATCACCGACTGGGCATCTACCTGCTTGAGCAGCGCGCCGGCGACAAGGTTGATGTGGCCAAGCTGAAGGAGCTGTACGCTGCACGCGACGGCTTCTCCCTCAAGTCGATGCGGGACAAGTTTGGGCTTGTGCCGTTTGGCTTCACCATGTTCCGATCTGTCTGGGATGACAACACGGCTGCCGTCATGAGCCGCCACGATATCCCGGGCGCCGATGTTGAACTGCGGCCCACGCGTGTGCACAGCTTGAAGCCGCCGGTCAAGCCTCGCGGTTGGGAGGCCAAGCGACAGGGCCCCAAGTACCGCCACCTGTGGAAATATACCAAGCGCATCAAGGGTGTTTCCAATGCCAAGGGTTGGATCAAGAGGAGGTGATTTGGCGCGTGTGGGCTTGGCTGAAGCTTTGTACTATACTGATATGCGTGGGCACCGAAACGACGGAGCAATCTCATGTAGAACAATCTCACTTGGTGCAAGCACATCTTTACTGTTGCGCCGATGATGGAGTAGCATAGTCCAATTGCTGATAACTTGTCAATGTCTATGGGTGCCATGGCGTCATCAGTACGAGGGTGGCAAGTCTTCAGAATGCGCAACGCAACGTGAACCTCCTCCCATGCTCAACGTGTCTCTGATCTGGCTGACCCTACGTGAGATGCGAGCCTTTAATCTCCCACAAGCTATGTCTTAAAAGCTCTGCCCTGGAGCAGTGAGCGAGAACAAGAGTCACCACCACAGACTGGACGCGGAAAAGCCCAGTTAGTCAGTCTTGCGGAGAAGATGCCGGCATTGAGCACGCTCTGCAACGAAGCCCATGGTTCAGCATACGGCGCGCCCATTCGACTTGACGGAAGCAATATACGTGCCGAGGTGAATATACAGGGCGAGGAAAAGCGCGGTACGCGTTGAATGGCGCTCGTGCTAGTGCTGCTGAGTTCCATGCCTTCGCCCAGCCTTGATGTTGGCGTCTTTCCTGCTTTTGCAGTTGCACAACAGCATCCTTTGCTTTTCCATGGACTGATTGCGTAGTCGATTGCTCCTTTGGCGGCTGCAATTTCATCATGAATGTCTCTCTGTCTGGCTGCCCAACTGGATCCAAGTCCGCGTACCCATGATTGTTTTCGTCATGGCACATTTTCCGACGCCAGGAGCTTTTGCTGGCATGGTTTGTGAAGCGAAGCCGCCGTTGCAACGGCTTGCGGATTTTCACCGACACCACCGCACTCTACCCGTGAAGCCGAGCCGAGATGATGTGCCTCTATCGTCCAAAGTAGATTGGACGCAATGAAAGTAGGTGTCTGCTTCGTAGAGGTAAAAGTCGTCAAGAGTATTTCCATAGAATTGCTCAGCTTTAGCAAAAGTCTTATATTCATGTGAGTACCCGTCATTAACTATACTACTGCATTGCTTGATGACGGCAGTGAGTTGTTTTTAGAGGGCAGAGACGGTGTATTGATGCTTGCAGTTCCAGGGGATATTATCCACGTCGGCTTCTATGGCCTGGATGGTGTCGTAAGCTTGGTCGTTCAATCGTCCCATCTCACGTCGATGAACCCGGGGAAGGGGGTTTCCAAAGGCAGTGGCCCCTTTATTTTCTGGAACTCTTGGAGGTCCAGGGCCCAGTCCGAGGTGCCGGCAAAGTGGAAGCTGTTGTAAACCTTTTTGCGGCGGTACTTGGTATCCTTGTCCATGTAAGCTACCCATTCGACGTCGTTGTAGACAAGAATGTTGGAGTCGGATGCGTCTACCCACTGTTTGACGTTGGCGGTGGATAGATTGATAATGTCCTTGATTTCGGCGTCTGCAATGTAACCACTGGTGTTTGTGCACATTCCGGCCCTGGCATCCGAGTGCGTGGAGGATCCGGTAAATTTGCAGCCCGGCCCATCACACCCAGCCTGAGCCATGCGGAATGATCTCCCGTAACTAGTGATGCCTACGGCTACCTTGTTGGAGGGAGCGCCGGCCTTGGTAATCATGGACAGGGACAAGAGAGTTTCCGTGAGATTCACATGAGATCGAAGACAGTTGCCCTCGGGACAGCCGGAGCTCGCCCACTTGTTGTTATAATCCCACTGGCCGTGAAGGTCGTACGTCATGTAGACGATATAGTCCAAGGACTTGGCCATTAGCTCAATGGGGAAGGCCTTGAGGTACCAGTAGGACGCAGGCGCAGCAAACGAGACGGACTTGCCGCTGCCAAGCGCCGACTTGGCCATGGAGAGAAACTCGTAGTAGTTAAGGCCTTCCTGGGGATCGCCGGAAGGAGGAACTCCAGGAGTATCAGGGGCCTGCACAGTGTTAGTCGTTTTTCTCTTGTCCGGCCCTCGAGTTATTCGGGACGTACACCAGGATATTCCCAATCCAAATCAAAACCATCCAGGCCATGGCCGTTTACAAACTTAACCACATTGTCCCGAAACGTATTCCTATTGGCCGGCTTTACTGCCTCGCGAATGATGCGAAATGTGCCCGCATTAGTGCTAAAGTCCCAGCCTCCAAAGGATATGATTTTCTTCACACCAGTGAGTTTCTTGAAGCGCTCAAATTCATCAGGGACGCCGCCAATGTCAGGTTTGAAGTCGTACGTGATGTTAGCAAAGGCAAAGTGAATATGCGTATATGCCTTGGTGTCAATCTTATCGGCGCGCAGGTGAAGACAGTGGCGGTTGGCATTCCAAGAGCCAAAGTAGCCAATGCGAAGGGTCTCTTTGGGAGGGCCGGATTGAATAATGTCGCTACCACAGTTTTGGATACCTGATGATCACTTCGTCAGTATCCCATGGCTGTATCCAGGCTTGCAGTCAACTTACAGCCGTTTGTTCCCGGCTTTGCAGTCCCCGGAGCACCAGTTTCCGAGTTTGTTGCTACACAAAAGTCCTTTGAAAGGAGAGGCCATCAGATCAGCATTCTACTCATTTCGCCATGTCATCGGAGACGCTGCACTCACAGAACTAATGCCACACTGGCCCCAGATGTTGCAGCAAACCTTCAGGGGACAGGGATTCAGATCCGTAAGATTCTTGCCGCCTGAAGGCTTCTTCGTCCCAGGCACCGTCGGTCCGCAAACAGCATTCGACACGGACGCCGGCATTGGCGGTCTTCCTTCACTCAAGCAGATGTTCATCCCCGACCAGAGCATTTTGCACCCGTTCCAGCCCCAGGTATTCTTATTAAATGACTCCAACTTGTCCACCGTCAGAATGTTCGCCGCCGCGATGGAAAACAGCTATCATCGTCATGGACATTGTACGCATGGCAAGAGCCGTCTGGCTCGGCCTTGGGTGTAAAGTCGGGGAGGGTGCCACGGCTGCAGCAGACATGCTGTCCCGGGATGAGAGCGGCACAGAAGTTATCGCCCGCGTTGATCGTCGTGAAGTCTGCAGCGGAAATACCGCATTTTGCTGCGAGCGCGGCGCAAGAGTCGCCAGCAACGACGCGTTTCGTGGTGCAGGCGCCGTCGCTGTTTGACGGGGGTGGACTTCGTCGAGGGAGACCGCGGACGCGTGTTCTATTCGAGCTCGTCACGGCCGTAGGAACTTGCAGAGTGAAATCCGCCCATTTCTCGGTGCTGCCCACGTCAGGGGCACACGCACCGTTGTTCCACGCCTTGACCGTACGCTGGATGAAGGAGACGTCGTAGGAAAGGCTGACGGCGATGCCGATGGAAAAATCAGCGCCGCGGTCTTTGCTCCCACAGAGCTGGAAGACGGTCTTGTCCGAAAGGCCCTTCTTTTCAGCAACGGAAACGAATTCGTCTAGGACGTGTTCCGCCACGCCCTGCGAGAGGACCTGCGATCCGGCATATAGACCGACGAGGGTTCTGCCGGAGGACCCGAAGCTGACTGTGTTGCTGGCACACGTGCTCATCTTGGACCTGATGTGTTGTGAAATTTGACTACCGGCAATAGCGGCATCTCGAGAAGCATCCGATGAACTAGACGGGCCTACCCGTCCCAATTCGACGGTGGCATTGATTTTTGACGGGTAGACGACGGAACACCCTGCTGTAGATGGACTTGCCCTCTTGGTTGCTGGGGCAGAACCATAGTCTGCCACGCACGCTCTAAACATTCCCTTTGTATGTTTACTATCCAGCTGCTGGTCTACTGCAAAGCTAAAGACCAACGTCTCACTGCACTGCTGCAGCTCAGCCACCTCCGAATAGAGATACCACTTTTTGGGATCCGAGCCAGATTCCGTGCAGGGCGGAGGACATTTTCTCTCTGCAGAGGCGGGAGTCCGGTCGTTGGCAGCGGTCCATTCCTCGAGGTACGCATCCACAGCTGCTTGGGAATCAAGCCCGGGGTGAGGGACGCTGTCATAGGGAACTAGGCTGACACTACTGGGCAGGGCGTCGTAGGGATTAGCGCTGACCTGGGCAAAGAGTGGTGCAGCAGAAACCGCGAGAGCTCTTGTGAGGAGTTTCATCCTGGCTCGGGATGAGAATTAGTTGTTGAAGCAGTAGTCCACGGTGTCTTAGTGTGCGTTTGAAGGATGGCAAATGAATGGGTGGTACCTGATTCTCTCTCCAGAAAACTTGGATACGACAGAGGATTGTCAGATGCCAACTGCTTTGAGAATAAGTCCAGTGATAAGAGAAGAAAAGATGTCGAGGATCATATAGACGAGAAGATGCCTGCGTGTGCAACCTGAGCAGATGAATTAGGCACCAAAGGATTGATTTCTCGTGCCCTTATGCCTTGATGCCTGGGCCTGCGTGCGGCCTATGAGGACATCGTGATAGCTGCAACCTCTGTGCATTGCAGCTAGTCATGTGGTTGAAGTTTGACCGCAAGTGCCGTGTAACAGTCAGCATCAGGCGCAAGGCACCGGCTTCACCACTCGGGGGCGATTCGTGGGGGGAAATATCTTCCACACTCCCTCAGTAGACCGCACATGAACTGAGGGCCAAAAAATAGTTGGTTAGACCTGTGTACGTGCAAGCTTAAGCGAGTTGATGGGCTGTATATCATATTCAGTTCTTGGTGAGTTTGATTAACCGTCAACACGAGGCAGGTTGGCAAGTAGGTCGCGAGCCTTGTATCAATTCGTGAAGCCAATACTTTCCAATTTTGTGCAGTAATTTTGCTGTGTTCAGCCAACAATAATAATCCGAGCTCTGCGGGAAATACTGATCAGCCGTTACCCAAGCTCTTGGAGCTGTAATCCCTCTTAACCATGGCCCCGTGTCCATGGCATATGTAACCACCTCAAGTCTTGAGATGTCCGGATATTCTTTACAAATGAGGATCAAGTCTGGACATGCCAACTATGTAGCCCCTAAATTATTTCGTTAAAGGCCGTAGTGTAACCCCAGTTTTGTTGTAGTATGCATGGGGACTCGCAAGTGATTGGACGTAGAGCGTGTGATGGCTTGGTTGTGGACGGGGAAAAAGAAGTTGGTCGGGAGTCCGGAGAAGGACGTTTCTGGTTCCAGACCAGGCAGGTCTCGTGCAGGGTCCAGCCTGCGCCTTCCATAAATAGCCTACCATCTCCAGAGAGTACAGAATCAACGCAAGCTTTTCATCTGTGTTCTGTGTTCTGCCATGGCGTTCGACGGATATCGACGTCTGGACTTTTTTGGGTAGTTCTGGTACGCGACATGAGACTCCCCATTCCTTATAAAGCGGCTCACTTGTTCCATGTACCACTGCTAAGAAACACCAGTACTCTTCAAGACCTATCCGTGTCCTAACCCGGGAGACGTCCGCACTTTAGCCACAGAGATTACAGGCTCGCCTTGCGCTTTCCTGCTGCAAGCCGCATTGACATTCACCGGGCCATGACAAAGTGAGATTGGAAACCTCCTATCAGACGTTCAAAGCAGAGAGAAATCAGGCTGCTTCTCGGGTATCGCCCGACATGGAAGACAGGTATTTCCGGGCCTCAGATGGGTTAACTTCAAGGGGCCTTGAACAGAAAAGACCAGAAAACTCCCCGCATGCCGCTTACCGTTCTGCCTTGACAGGCACACCGGCGTATCATATAAAAGTGTCACACAATACGATTGTGTGGGACAGCTGGGGAAGAATGAATGACTCTTGATATTCTATATACTTGCCAGTTGGCAAGTCGCCACCTAGGCAGCATTGTGCTTGGATTGGCGGGGGCAATAGAACGATGGCTCGTCATGGTCGTAGTCCTCCGGCTGCGGCTGTAGAACATAGATGGTTACATTTGACTGTCTCGTCTCTCACCGAGCCACGAGCCACGAGCCACGAGTCACAAGTCACGATGCGCCGACTAGGACGAAGCACAAACTGGAACCGCCAGGGCAGATCTGCATGTGGCGGCTCCAAGTTCAACCGCGTCGCCGACAAGCCTGCATGAGGTAACGTCGCTTACATATGGCAAGCGTCCGGGCCAGCAGCAGTACCAGAATTTTCCAAAGTAACATCCAAACCACACCGCGACCCAAACAGCAAGATCGTACCGATGGTGGTGGAGGCAGGTATCCTCATCCTCGGTGATGCGGTCGCAGTCCGGGATGGAGAGCTGCACCTCGTCCACCTTTCCAACTTTGCATTTCAAAGGTTCTTCATAGCAAGCCCAAAAACTCCGACAAGTTCCCCTGACAAGAGGAATGGAACGTGTGTCCAGAAACAGAGGCCCGGCAGCGACATCAACACCGACAGCTCCGAAGTCACTCTCCTTGGCGCGGGCTCTTTCCTCGCCATCAACGGCAGATGACTGCGTTTTCAACATGGGAGTAGTAGCATTCAATTTTGATCACAGCCTCGAGGTAACCTGACCGTGTCCTTGACAATTAGGGATACTATTCCCACGTCTAGTGTTAGGACTTGGGGTTCCTAGCAGAGTAGACAAAAGAATTATATAGAGCACTTACTGCAACTCTATAAATAGCTAAGTTAGTAAAAATAACTATATTAATCTCTAAACCTCTTCTTCTCTTAGTATAAACTTCTCTTCTTTATATATATATAAGTTAGTAGCTACTATTTTATAGCTAATTTAATAGCTACTATATTATTATATTAAAGTAAATTAAAGTTAAATATACTTTATATACTTTTAATTACTTAAATAAGTATTAAGTTTTTAATAGAATTTTCTTTATTAGCTATAGCTATACTTAGTTATAGTAAAGTAGTTATAATACTACTTTATAAAGCTATTTAGTAGATAACTTTTATAGTATATAGCTTTTTTTAATATTAATAGCTAGTAAGTAGCTATAACTACTTATTAAAGAATTTAAAAAAGCTTTACTAACTTTTATAATTTTCTTTCTTTTTTTTTCTCTTTTTTAACTTATTAAATATTTTATATATTATTTAAGCTAATAGCTACTATATTATAGTATTCTTCTTTTATTTATACTAACTAGTAATAATTACTAAGTTTATTCTCTTAATCTTCTTAAATATTTACTATTATATTAGTTTTAAGTAAGTTTATTTAACTTTCTTACTACTAGCTTATAGCTAATTTACTAGTAATAGCTACTTATAAAAGTAGTATTAAGCTCTTAGTATCTCTCTAAAAGAGTAGAAAGTAGTAAGTTATAATAATAATACTTAAATATACTACTAATTTATTATTAAGTAGTAGTACTTACTTTTATTAGTATTATATATATACTACTTACTTTTAAAATAAGTATTTAGCTATTTATTATAAAAATATATATAGTTTAGTTAAGAAATATAATATAAACTTTATTAATATATTACTATAAGCTTACTACTAGTTAGTTACTAATATTCTTAGGCTGCTTTATTAAGTACTTTTACTACTTTAAAAATAATAAAGTATATATTTTAATAAGTTAATTATATTATATATAAGTAATACCTAGCTAATATACTACTAGCTTAATACTTATTACTATTATATATATATTAATTTTCTTCTTACTTAAGCTAATATTTCTATAACTAAGAAGTATAATAATAATAAAATAAGTAGTTTTAATTTAAAGTTCTTAGTTACTACTAACTTATAGTAATATAAAGTATAGTAAGCTCTTAGAAAGCTTTAGTATAAGTATTAGCTAAGTTTAAAAATAATAATAAAGTTAGCTATACTTATTATTTATATCTAGAAGCTATAAGTTTTATACTTACTATTAAGTAGCTACTATTTATAACTTAATTTATAAGTAGTACTATTTAAGTACTTTAATTTTAAGTTTTAATTTATTTTAATATTTCTAGAATACTTATTATAAGTATATATATAATAACTAAGCTACTACTTAGTAGCTTACTTTTATTATAAAGATATAAGTATAGTTAGAAATTACTAATTACTTTTATTATATTTATACTTATATAAAGTAGATATATTCTCTTTTTCTATTATACTATAACTATATAGCCAATAAGCTTAGTTTAGAAGTAGTAAGTACTTACTTAACTATATTACTTTAAAGTAATTACTAGTAGACTTAGCTAATACTTTTATAAAGTTTAATAAAAAGAAAAGAAATAATTAATAGTAGCTATATAGCTAGAGAGTAGTAGCTAGTTAGTTTAATAAGCCTTTAAAAAATTAATATATATACCTTTAAAAAATTTTATATATAAAGCTTATTATATTATTATAAATATATATATACTTATAGCTATTTTTCTAAGTTACTACTACTTTATAGCTAGTTAGACTTCTTACTATAAAACTTAAGCTATATATAAAAATTTTAACTTTATTATAAGTTAATTTTATAAGTATATTTTATTATACTTATTAATAAGTATTAATATAATAAAGTTATAAGTAAGTAGCTATAAGTTCTCTATATTATTATAGTTTTTCTATTTAACTAAGTATTTATACTTTTTACTATTATATTTATATATAATAATTTACTTCATATTATATATATTATTCTCTTTTAGTATAATATTTAGTAGCTATATAGTTACTATAATATTATATATATTCTTTTTAAAAAGTTTAAGCTATAAAATATAGAAAATATTATAAATTTATATATTTAGTAAAAGCTATATTTTATATATTAATTTTTAATTTTTAATTTCTATTAGTACTTTATAAAGTTCTAAGTACTTAAAGGTAAGCTTATAGCTTAGTTATTTAAAGTTAATATTTCTTATTAATAATAATATAAAATTAATAGCTTTAAACTATATAACTTTTCTTTTATAGTGATAGTATTTAGCTTATATAGTTTATATACTATATAGTAGCTATTTAGTAGCTATATATTTAGTTTATAGTTTCAGTTCTTTATTTTTAGCTTATTTATTAATAATTAGTAATAGTACTACTATATAGTATAGTTTATAAAAAGTAAATTCTTATAGTATTTCTATAAGTAAGTAGCTATAACTACTATAGTAGCTTATATTATATATATACTAAGCTAGTAGAAGTTACTTTAACTAGTTTATTTATTTATAGCTTTTAAAAGCTTATAAATAATATTTTAATAATTAGTTTTAGTATTTTATTTAGCTATTTATTTATAAGTAGAAAGTAGTACTAAGTTACTACTTAGTTGCTAGAAAGTAGTAAAAAGTTCTTTAGAACTTACTTATAAAAGTTAATTCTTAATTAGTTATAATTTCTTTAAGTAAACTATAATTTTAAAATATTCTTTATAGAAAAATTATAGCTAAGTTATTACTAGTAATATTCTTTATAATAAGCTTATAAATTATATACTTAGAAAATTAGTTAATAATTATAAAAATTAAATTAAATATTTTATTTCTATATATATTAATAGAAAGTAGCTTTATAATAAAATTTATTAATATCTCTTAAAAGAAGTAATTTAGTACTAATAGTATAGCTAGTTTACTATAAAGTTTATATAGCTTTAGTTTAAATAATTAGTAATTAATATATTATATAATATACTTCTTAATATTACTTTTTATATTTTACTAAAAATACTAAAATATAACTTACTTTAGTATTTTAATTATACTTTAGTAACTTATAGTAATATTATTATAAACTAATAAGAGAATTTTCTTTCTAAGGCTTAAAGAGATATAAGTATAATTCTTATAGTAAAGTAAGCTCTTTATACTTTTATACTAGTTATTCTTTTTAGAAGCTAAATTACTACTAACTAGTAGCTCTTTTTATTAGTAAATAAAGGTATTTCTTTATTACTCTTTAAATAATAACTTAAATAGTAATAAAGCTATCTTTATAGCTTACTTATTATTATTTTTCTAACTTAATTTAGTAGAGGCTACTCTTAATACTATTAATCTAGCTATAATATTATAGCTAGAGTACTATAATTTATATAGTATACTCTTTCTTTTAGTAGTAATACTTTATAGTCTTTTATAAAGTAGCTCTAAGTTACTAAGATTATAAATATAGCTCTTTACTATATTACTAAAATTATAAGTAGTACTTAGCTACTTACTTATAGTAAACTTTTAGAGAAAGAGAGGTAGTTATAAAGCTTTTACTTATATTATTTTATCTTTATTATAGTAATTAAACTTTCTAGATAAGCTATTTATAAAATTAAGCTTATTAAGTTAATATTTAATAATAAAGTTAAATAAATATAGCTTATTTAGAGTAGTAACTTATCTACTAGTTAGCTTAAGCTTTAATACTAAGTACTTATAATTTAAGTAATTTATAATAATATAAATTAAATACTAAGAGTAAGCTAAGTAGTGCCTCTATATATAAAAAGCTTTCTATATAGCTAGCAGCTTTATATTAAGAGTTATATAGTATAATTCAAAACTATTTAGCTTTCTAGAAAAGTAAGCTATTAAGTACTAGTAATTTAGCTATAACTATACTAGTATTATACTAATAGTAAAGTTAAATATATTTATCTTTATTCTTAAAAGTACTTCTAAGTTAAAATAAGCTAGAATTAAAGCTTCTTAAAATTACTACTTAAGTTTCTAGAAAGTAGTAATAATACTACTTAGTAGCTATAATTTCTCTATAGCTTTTTCTTTTATAAAATTAGTAAGTAGTACTATAATTTTACTATAATTCTTAATAAATTATTTATAGAATTTTATAAATTTAAAAAAGCTCTAAATATTTAAAATACTATTAAGTAGTAGCTACTTTATAATTACCTTAATATACTCTTCTTTTATCTTAATTTCTTAGTTAGTAATAATAAACTTAAGAAAAAATATAGTAGTTATAGAAAATTTATACTTTTAAAAGTTAGTATATAATTTAGCTACTTATAGTTTAGTTAAAACTTCTTTAATATACTATTTATATACTATTAAGTTACTACTATATATTAGTATATTATTAAGATAAATAATATAAATAAAGTTAACTAATTTACCTAGAGAATTATAAATATATTATTAAAAAGTAGCTAATATATTAATAAGCTTAAAAAGCATTATTAAATACTTAAAATAGCTATATTTATAATAAAAAGCTATTTTCTACTTATTACTTTTATAAATATATAGCTAGTAGTAAGTATTTTTAAAGTTTATTTTTATATAAATCTTTATACTTTTAAGTTTATTAAATATCTTTATTATTAAGAATAGTAGTACTTTATTTTTTTTATAACTTAATTTAAGCCTTTATAACTTATATATAGCTAAAGCTTACTTTCTTTCTTAAGTATAAAAAGAATTAAAGCTTTTATTAAGCTTATTAAATATTTTATCTAGCTATACTTAAACGTACTTACTAAGTAGTTATAAAGAATTTATAACTTTTTTTTAGCTAAGTTATAAATTAAGCTTTAAGATAAAGTCTCTTCTTCTTTTAGTTTAATAGTATATATTTAGCTAGTAAAAAGTAGAAAAGTTATAGCTACTTTAATATTAAATATATTAATATACTCTTAGTATATACTTAGTAGCTTAATATTAGTAATATTACTACTTAGTATATTTTTATTTTAAGTTTATATTTATACTAAATTATTTATTTAGTTAATAATAATTATAACTATAGCTTTCTTTACTTTATAGTAAGCTTACTACTTTTTTATAAAGAGCTTTAAGTACTCAAAGGTAATAAAATATCTTTAGTATTTCTTTTTTTAACTTATTATAATAAGCTTATATTTATTTACTTAGTTTTTTTCTAAAAAAATATTCTCTCTAGTATTTATAATATAGTAGTAAAGTTAGTAGAATTAAAAGTAATTTATATTATTAATAATACTTATAGTTCTCTAAAGAATACTTTAGTAAAGTAGCTATATACTTTCTACTACTTTAAAGACTTTATTATTTAGTTTTATATACTATTAGTTTATTATAAATAGTAACTTAAAGAAAATAAATATATACTTTATACTTATATTAAATAGTATATTTATAGCTACTTAATAGTATACTTACTATATAAGTATTATTATCTTACAGGCCGGATAACCCACCACCAATTGGCGGCAAAACTAGCCAAGGAGTGGAAGGCAAGACCGCCCGACTGGACGCCGGGGGTGGGATCGTGGCGACGCCGGCTGGATGCCGGCCTGCTGACGCGGCAATAGCAAGGTCAAAGAATCATTGAATCTATTAAAGCAAAAGGCATATTAAACCTATAGTATAAGCAATGACTAGCGACTCTCCCTCCCCTGAGCCTGCTTCCGCGCCCCGGAGTCGCTGCCACGCCCGCCCGCAGCCGCCCTAGAGCCACCTGCACGCTGCTCCTCGTTGAGCTCCGCTATAAAGCTGCGCCCATCTAGAGCCGCAAGCGAAGCCTCCATCTTGGCTATATAGCCGGCGCACTTGTTTAGGATCTAGACTGACTCTGCTACAGATGCAGCTGTGGCGGCGACTGACGCTGCGATCTCCCCCAACTGACCTAGGATCTCCTTATGGCGGTCTGCACTGTTATCTGATCCCCCGGCTAGCACTAAGCCGGACTAGGCCTGCCCCTTCCCCTTCTAATTGTTGGCCTTCTCTAAGGCCTTAAGATTCTTAAAAAATTAAGGAGTAAACTAAGACAGAGAGTTAGCAATGCTGAGCTGGAGATAGGGCAGACTACCTATAGTAACGCAGGAAGGCGTCTTCTTAGCCACAGCCTCTAGCTCCTTCTAGAGGCGCAGAAAAATAGAATGTGTCTCTAACGTTATATTACACTATAGCCTAGTTAGAGCTAGAGGAGGGGCAGAGACAGGACAACTTATAGGAACGCAATAATTATTGCGAATATAATAGTTAAAGCATAATGCAGTCTTTAACCTAATGATCTCCTAGTATAAATAGGCCTAGGGCCCGTCCGGCCCTAAGCTGGTAGCAGTAGCGGCAGCAGAGATCTAAGCGACACAAGAGACGCATATAACTTTGCAGATAGGACTAAGCTATACACAGAGTTAGAGCCGGAATAGAGGCAGAATTAGGGATATATACTGACTTGCTAGCAACTTTTTGGGACTAAGACTTAGTTATTGTTTTGCCTTTAAAGGCACTAGAAGTCTTGCAGCAGTTAGCTATTAGGCGGAGATTAAGCTAGCGCCGGCTTGAACTTACTATAACTTTCCCTGCGTTAGCAGACTGGGAGGAGGACATAGCGATAGCTGCCAAAAAGATCAGCAACTCCCTAGATTTAGGGCCGGTATAGGACAGACGTAGGGCATATATATACAGACGATAGGTTTTAATAGAGTTCGAAGACAATAAAGACGGCGGCAACAGCAGCAAGAACAGCTCTAGCAAGAAGTTAGCCAGGATCTAAGCAGAGACTAGCCCAGGCCCAGCGGGGCAGCAGGTGGAGCTAGTTTATTGGCAAGATTTAGTGTATATTAAGAGCAAGAGGTTGAAAGAGGAAGAAAAGAGGGAAGGAAGTTAGGGGGGGTCTAGCTAGCTTTATATCTAACAGGAGCCTGGGTTTAGCGTAGCAGCTGCGCCGGCTGTAGCCAGCTGTGAGGCTGGGAGGTAATTTACACATAGAACGAAAGTAAGGTGAATCTAAATATACAAGCTGTTGCAGCTAAACACTGGATATTTACGCTAGCAGCTATACAACAGCACAGAACTAGGCCGGCCTACCCCTAAGAGAGCGACAGACAACGTACTGCACTAAGATAGTCTGCGTCCCTAGAGAGCAGGGACAATTAGGGACTGACAGATAGAATGGGAAATTAGGCAGGCGTAAGACAGCCCCAGCATAGAGCTGGAGTTAGGCTATAGCTAGCTGCAAAGCTGAGAGGTAATTTATGTATAAGACGGAAGTAAGGTGAATCTAACTACACAAGCTGTTGCAGCTAAACACTAGATATTCACGCCAGCGGTTATACGTTAGCCTAGAGCCGGACCGGCCCACCCCTAAGATAGTAACAGACGACGTACTGCGCAGGGATAGATTGCGTCCCTAGGGAGAGGGGACAACTAGAGGCTGGAGAACATAGCAGGAGAATAGGCAGGAGCAGCATAGCCCCAGCGTAGAGCTGGAGGCAGGCTTGATTTTTAGGGGTTATTAGCCCCTCTAGAACACAGCCGGCGAAGCCGGCGACACTTATGCACGCGCAGGAGGCAGGCGGATTCTAGCTAGCACAGAGCTAGAGCTGCCCTAGGGAGCAAAAACAGAAGCAGGCAGGGTTTTTCTTCCTATTAAAGGGTTTTCTAGGCCTAATATAAGAAGAAGATGTACTAGTTATATAGCTTTATAGCTATCTAGGGTATTTAATATAAAATACATATTATTATCTTTATTTAAGAATTATTATATTTTTTATTAATAGTAATTTTAAGTTTTTAAGTATAAATTCTATAGACTAAAGTAGTATTACTATTAGTTACTAGTAAGCTACTACTAGCTTAGTGCTTATTTATAGTATACTAATTACTTTAATAAGTACTATAGTTTAGCTTAAAGTATTATAATATAATATAGCTTAATATATTATATTTATAGTAAATAATATTATTAAAATATAAAGTATTTCTACTAGTTTTATAACTTCTAGTAGTATTACTATTAGCTTACTACTTACTAGTATTTTTATTCTCTTTAAATAAAAGTTTATACTAATTTCTTTTTTTTATATAATAGTTATAGCTATTACTATTAAAGATATTATAATAGCTTTCTAGCTTAAAAATAGTAACTTTAGCTTTCTTCTCTTAGCTTTTTAAGTAGCTTTAATCTCTAGAGAACTTTTAGCTAAGTAGCTGCTTTCTTATAGTAAGTTAAAGGCTATTTATAAATATATAGATAGTAAGCCTCTTTAGTAGCTTATTTAGAAGTTTAGCTTTATACTTACTTTATACTTTTTTAAATACTTAAAATAATTAGCCTTAGCTTTAGTAAAGACTTATTAATATTTATATAGCTTCTAAGTAGTATATATCTTTATTTATAGTTTTAAATTTAAGCTATTTTATAAATCTAGCTTAAGTATACTTCTAGAAATTAATAAAGCTATTATTAGCTATATAGTATATTTATTATTACTTTATATTATTAGTAAAGTAGCTACTAGTATAAGCTACTTTATTAATATTAGTAATAAAGTAAAAGTAGTTTATAGTAAAAGCTATATATAAATCTACTAAATAAGTCTAAAGGCTTTTATATAATTTATCTTTATAAATTAATATTTAAATTTATACTTTTATCATACTAAAGTATAGCTAGTAAGTAGTATAGTTAAAGCTTATAAAAGCTAGCTAGAATAATTAAGTATTCTTACTAATATTTCTTTATTTAGCTTACTTAAGCTTTTTTATTATTTTTATAAGCTAGTTATACTTCTAAGTAATATATAGCTTCTTTATAGTATACTTAAAGCTATTATTTAGTATAGCTTTCTTATTACTTTATATTTTATTTATAATAGTAAAGTTTATAGTAGAAATTAATAGTTCTTTCTTAATAAATAAAGCTTTTAAAGAAAGTATAGTAAAATTACTACTAGTTTTTATCTTAAGTATAAAGTTTAATTAAGTTAAATATATTATATAAAGTATTTTTATTAACTTAAATAAATAGTTTACTACTTTATAGAGAAGAGAGATTAAGTTATTAAAATTAAAGTTTCTAGTAAAGTAAATAAAGAAATTATATAAAGTACTTACTATAACTTTATAAATAGCTAAGTTAGTAAAAATAACTATATTAATCTTTAAACCTTTTTTTCTCTTAGTATAAACTTCTCTTCTTTTATATATATATAGTTGCTAGCTGCTACTTTATAGCTAATTTAGTAGCTGCTACACTATTATATTAAAGTAAATTAAAGTTAAACGCGCTCTACATGCCCTTAATTACTCAGACGAGCGTTAGGTCTCTGACATTCCTAGCCTGGGAGCGCTAGATACAGCACATAATATTTGCATTCTTATATTATAGTATTCCGTTAAACACTCTTACACTTCTATGTCTATAACGACTAGTCTGTTGCGGATTCTCTATCCTATCGTTTCAGATCCTAGGCTGCTCTCAAAATAAAGCAGTACTAAAACATACAAGAATCTCAAATCCCCTTCTATTCGTCAAGAATGCCAAGTATATAAATGTCGTGGCTTTGTAGGAGATGTAGGCTAACGCAGTCCCGATTCGCGACGCGCTGCACCAAGATGAAGCGAGATTGTGAGTTCCAAATAAACTGCGGGTTGGCACGAGCATCAAGCTCGACTAGAGAATTCTTCTACCGTGCTTGGTTGACTAATTAGCCCTTCATCCACTCATTGTGAAAGGATTTCAAAGCCAATCGACCTACATCTTGGAGTCCGGCCGCGCCACGAATGGACATTGAATACCAAGCTGTTCAACATGTCTGGAAAAGAAGGTTGGAAAGTTGCGATCCAGCTCCTGACGCAACAGTCTCTGGCGTCTTCTGTCTGACTCTGGTTTCTTCTCAAGAAGCTCCCAATATCCCACCTTGGGGTCAGGTAATACATTGATCATAAAGAGGAAATAAAGGCGCACAAAGAGTTTTATAAGCCAACCAGTAAGGGCATGGACGGGGGAGATATCGTAAGCTTGCAGAATCTTTGGAGGCGCCAAGGCCAGAATGAGACGTCGACCCAGCCAGCGAAAGCCAAATGGGAAAAATCGGTATACCAGCTGTGCATAGTTTGCCTCCAGTCCCAGACGTCCATTTTCACTCCCCTCACTATAGAGGTTCTCTATCTTGTGGATGCTATTGATCATTCCGTCCCAGCTCATAGGAAACTCATCCAATGGTTTTCCTCCAGGAATTCGCAACAGGGTATAAATATCCTTCCAGAAATGATGCGCAGCAATCTTCTCCTTTTCGGACAATCCAGGTAGGCCTACTCTCACAAACAGCTGATGCTTCTGTGTTGCGAACAAGCAAACTGCATAGATATAGTCCTCGGGGTGCGAGAAGTCACCGGGGTACTTGTCAGACCAGTATTCGTGCAGACGATTAACACGTTCCACTTCCTGAATCGACTTTGAATGCTTCGGGCCGTACCAGGCTAGAATGAGTAGAAACTGTACTGTTTGTGCTACTCGATTCGTTGCTTTGTTGAGCATTTTGCCCCCGCCCTCCCGCCACACAGGCCGGGCGCTGTGTTCAGGAAGAATTGTGCTAGGAATTGAGAGAGCATAGGCCAGGTTGAGTATGAAGTCATTAAGGTTGTAACTTGCCGAGAGTCTCCATATCTTCTCGTAGTCCACCTCCGGGTCAAGAGACTCTATCTCTTGCTTGATCCACTTGTACCGCAACTTGGATTCGAAGTACATTCTAGTAAACAGCCTCTCAAGCAGAACCTGTTGCTGGGACTTGTAAGGCCTATCGTCGGCGGTAAACGTCACCCATGTATTATGCAGGTACACGTTCTTTGAAGCCAGGGGCGTATGGTAACTTATCCTACATCAACCATGGCTTCTCCCCACTGGATCAAGGGTTGTTTTATATCTCTCGGCTCTGAAGACTTTCTTTTTCTGCCGAGTGCAATTTTACTCCGTATTTGACCCACTTCCATGTCCTGGCCCTCATATTGGCCACTTTACGCTATTAAAAAATGACGCAGCCGGCGGCTACTTTCATGTGAGTTGTCCCGTCTTATATATCCTGTGACATCTCTTAATGTCCTCCGCGTGCCCACCTCGGCATGTATACATTTGGTTGATTACTTCCCGTCTCAAGTCGGCTTATAATTTAAGGATGCACTCTACCAGGTATCTCGCGGTGTAGTTTGGAATGTCGACAGTGCGAATTTAGTGCATTCGGACAATCACATGGCCATCCCGTCACTCGCTCATCCAGCAATATTCCTCGTGTCATTGCTGATGGCATCTACTTCATTTGTTTTAGTGCTTTCCCTCACGATGCCCTCATTAGCCGCACGCGGGCACGGGAATCTAGGCACAAAGGCCCAACAAAGGCAACGAGACGTCAACACCTTGATGACTCGGTCACCCGGTTCGAGTCGCACACACAGGCGTCGATTTGTATACATAGCGCCCGTTGCTCGGGTCCTTCAGGGAGACCAGCCAAGGACCTCAGGAGAATACGATATTATATGTGAATTTGAGGCTTTTGCTCCACGCCCTGATCTCCGTGACCAGCCCTTGTCACAATGAGTTAATTCCATTGTAATAACATACTTTGGTATCAAAAGGTCCGTGGTTTCCGCAAGGTCCTTGGGCCTACAGACTTATTTATGCAGCAGCCTTGTGCCCTAGGCCTTGTGATTAATAATAATAGCTCTTTGTCAGGATTAGGGTTCCTAGCAGAGTAGACAAAGGGGATTACATAGAGCACTTGCTGCAACTCTATAGATAGCTAGGTTAGTAAGAATAACTATATTAATCTCTAAACCTCTTCTTCTTAGTGCAAACTTCTTCTTCTTTATATATATATAGTTACTAGCTGCTACTTTATAGCTAATTTAGTAGCTACTATACTAGTATATTAAAGTAAATTAAAGTTAAATATACTTTATATACTTTTAATTACTTAAATAAGTATTAAGTTTTTAATAAAATTTCTCTTATTAACTATAGCTATACTTAGTTATAATAAAGTAGTTATAATACTACTTTATAAAGCTATTTAGTAGATAACTTTTATAATATATAGCTTTTTTTAATATTAATAGCTAGTAAGTAGCTATAACTACTTAATAAAAGTCTAAAAAAGCTTTACTAACTTTTATAATTTTCTTTCTTTTTTTTTCTCTTTTTTAACTTATTAAATATTTTATATATTATTTAAGCTAGTAGCTACTATATTATAGTATTCTTCTTTCTTTTATATTAACTAGTAATAGTTGCTAAGTTTATTATCTTAATCTTCTTAAATATTTATTATTATATTAATTTTAAGTAAGTTTATTTAACTTTTTTATTACTAGCTTATAGTTAATTTACTAGTAATAGCTACTTATAAAAGTAGTATTAAGCTTTTATTATTTCTTTATAAAAGTAGAAAGTAGTAAGTTATAATAATAATACTTAAATATACTACTAATTTATTACTAAGTAGTAATATATACTTTTACTAGTAATATATATATACTACTTACTTTTAAAATAAGTATTTAGCTATTTATTATAAAAATATATATAGTTTAGTTAAGAAATATAATATAAACTTTATTAATATATTACTATAAGCTTACTACTAGTTAGTTACTAATATTCTTAGGCTGCTTTATTAAGTACTTTTACTACTTTAAAAATAATAAAGTATATATTTTAATAAGTTAATTATATTATATATAAGTAATACCTAGCTAATATACTACTAGCTTAATACTTATTACTATTATATATATATTAATTTTCTTCTTACTTAAGCTAATATTTCTATAACTAAGAAGTATAATAATAATAAAATAAGTAGTTTTAATTTAAAGTTCTTAGTTACTACTAACTTATAGTAATATAAAGTATAGTAAGCTTTTAAAAGGCTTTAGTATATATACTAGCTAAGTTAAAGAATAATAATAAAGTTAGCTATACTTATTATTTATATTTAAAAGCTATAAGTTTTATACTTACTATTAAGTAGCTACTACTTATAACTTAATTTATAAGTAGTACTACTTAAGTACTTTAATTTTAAGTTTTATTTTATTTTAATATTTCTAAAATACTTATTATAAGTATACATATAATAACTAAGCTACTACTTAGCAGCTTGCTTTTATTACTAAAGTATAAGTATAGTTAGAAATTACTAATTACTTTTATTATATTTATATTTATATAAAGTAAGTATATTTCTCTTTTCTATTATATTATAACTA